AACAGGAGAAGTCCCGGCAGACTGGAGGAGGGCAAATGTTGTCCCTATTTTAAAAAAGGGGGAAAGAGAGGACCCAAATAATTACCGCCCAGTCAGTCTGACATCAATACCAGGGAAGATTCTGGCGCAGATCATTAAGCAAACAGTCTGTGAGCACCTAGAAAGGAATGCTGTGATCACCAATAGTCAGCATGGATTTCTGAAAAATAAGTCATGTCAGACTAACCTGATCTCGCTTTTTGACAGAATTACAAGCCTGGTAGATGAAGGGAACGCAGTGGATGTAGCCTACCTTGATTTCAGCAAGGCATTTGACAAGGTGCCCCATGATATTCTTGTAAAGAAGCTGGTAAAATGCGGTCTTGACTATGCTACCACTCAGTGGATTTGTAACTGGCTGACTGACCGAACCCAAAGGGTGCTCATCAATGGTTCCTCTTCATCCTGGAGAAGAGTGACTAGTGGGGTGCCACAGGGTTCTGTCTTGGGCCCGGTCTTATTCAACATCTTTATCAACGACTTGGATGATGGACTCAAGGGCATCCTGATCAAATTTGCAGATGACACCAAACTGGGAGGGTGGCTAACACCCCAGAGGACAGGATCACACTTCAAAACGACCTTGACAGATTAGAGAACTGGGCAAAAACAAACAAGATGGATTTTAACAGGGAGAAATGTAAAGTATTGCACTTGGGCAAAAAAATGAGAGGCACAAATACAAGATGGGGGACACCTGGCTTGAGAGCAGTACATGTGAAAAGGATCTAGGAGTCTTGGTTGACCACAAACTTGATATGAGCCAACAGTGTGACGCGGCAGCTAAAAAGCCAATGCAATTCTGGGCTGCATCAATAGGAGTATAGCATCTAGATCAAGGGAAGTAATAGTGCCACTGTATTCTGCTCTGGTCAGACCTCACCTGGAGTACTGTGTCCAGTTCTGGGCACCACAGTTCAAGAAGGACACTGACAAACTGGAACGTGTCCAGAGGAGGGCAACCAAAATGGTCAAAGGCCTGGAAACGATGCCTTATGAGGAACGGCTAAGGGAGCTGGGCATGTTTAGCCTGGAGAAGAGGAGGTTAAGGGGTGATATGATAGCCATGTTCAAATATATAAAAGGATGTCACATAGAGGAGGGAGAAAGGTTGTTTTCTGCTGCTCCAGAGAAGCGGACACGGAGCAATGGATCCAAACTACAAGAAAGAAGATTCCACCTAAACATTAGGAAGAACTTCCTGACAGTAAGAGCTGTTCGACAGTGGAATTTGCTGCCAAGGAGTGTGGTGGAGTCTCCTTCTTTGGAGGTCTTTAAGCAGAGGCTTGACAACCATATGTCAGGAGTGCTCTGATGGTGTTTCCTGCTTGGCAGGGGGTTGGACTCGATGGCCCTTGTGGTCTCTTCTGACTCTATGATTCTATGATTCCATAGCCCACCAAAAGTTAATAAGGTGGTGCTTTGAGTAGATTAGGAATGGAAGAAGATTAAGCATTAACTATTTCAGAAGATCCCACAAAATACAGGGTGTGGGTGGGACTACTCTGTTGTCTCCAGCCTTCATTTCCAGACAAAGTGGAAACCTTTGGAATCAAGGTGCTTATGAAGTAACATACAGTGGACGCTCGGCTTGCAAATGTGACCCGTGCGGGAGGCACGTTCGCAACCCGCAGCGTTTGCAACCCGCAACGCTGCGTCTGCACACATGCGGGTCACGATTCGGCGCTTTTTGCGCATGCTTGAGTGCCGAAACCCATAAGTTACCCATTTTGGTACTTCCAGGTTTGGCGCGGTGCACAATCCGAAAACGCGCAACCTGAAGCATCTGTAACCCGAGGTATGACTGTACTAGAATAGAGGCAAACAGGTGCAAAAGGACTGCCTCAGTCAATAAGCTATTGAGTTACATTAGAAGCATGACTTTATTTAACAGCAGGATAAGGGGAAAAATTCTTAAATTTTATTTTTTTTCTTTGCTATATTTGCTTCACTATCTGTAACCATTTTTGCAGCTTTGTTGATTGCAGATTTGTTAAAAGTCGTTTTAATTCAAGGATACTTGTTAACCTTTTGGCTTTTCATTAATTTGACTTTGGAGTCATGTTCACTGATAACAATGCTATTTACTGTATTACATTTTCATCTCCATCATGTTCATTATCTTTAATTTTCTAATAAAGCATTTATTATAATGCCTTGTTGGTGTGATGTGCCCTGGACGGCAGGCTTTTACCTGCAGGAGGAGCTGTTCTGAGTGACGCCTAAATGGTGCCTCTGCCCTGAGGAAGACAAGAACACCAAGAGATCCTGCTGGATCAGGCCGACAGCCCACCTGGTCCAGCATCCTGTTCACACAGTGGCCATCCAAAGCTGGCTCCAAACCTCTCATGAAAATGGACTTTGAAATATAGAAGAAATTTAGATGGTAGACAGTGTGAGCTAGGAAACGATGGAAGATAGATAGATTTCAAATTTATTTTAAGTGCAAGTTCAGTAGGGTACCTCTAACATAGCAGTGAACCGTGGACCCCCTCTAGAAGGTCACTTGGAATAGATTCTGGGCTGTGGGGAGAAGACTGCTTGAGCCATGCTTTCTTGGGTGACTTCAGCCATACCTTCTTCTTATGCATTAACATTTTGTCAATATAATCTCAGGTTGTATATTTGCAGGAACAAAGAGTGTCAGTGCAGGTGGTATGTATTGTCTTTGGAAACATATCCAGGCCAGTCATTTAAGATTAGATGCAGGATGTGCTTGGGAGATGCATATTCTTTTAACAGCTTGCTAAACATGCCATCCTCATCCTCTGTTGGACCATTATTATGTAGAAAAATTCCTTAGCATAAATTAACATATTGTTCATCCATGTAGTTCAGGGACGCCACTTGCATCATTGTCAAATATTAGGTCAGCTTCATCATACTGTAGCCCTGAAGACATATTTTCTATAATATTTTATCTTTGCCAGTTCATCCTTGTCAAACATGACTTCCCAACAGACAATGAATAGTTTGTCAAGGTAATGGGAGGCAGGTCAAGCTGCATATTTTTGTTTTCATGATTTTGCTATTAATTCTCTGATTATATTGCCTTGCTTTGAGTTACATGATTATTTTAATTTGAACAATTCACTTCAAGGGACTTCAAGAAATGCTACAAATATAAAAAGAGAAAATTAAAATAGCTGCATGCATATTGCTGCTGTGAGTATAATAGATCCTACTTATATTTCCTTTCAATCAGTTAGCTTTGCAAAATAAAAATAGCATAATGTCAGCACATAAATACAAATTATTATTTGCTCCAACATGCAGTGCTGTTGTGGCATTTGTTTTACAAAACAATATTAAACTTGTGCATAAAAATAACCAAGAATCCTGTGCTATAGGAATTCCATTTTATTGAAATGGGATTTACTTCTTAGTAAATATGTATAGGATTAGTGAAACCTAATAATCAAATTTCAGAAAGACATGGATGCCTCTTGGTTTAAACATTAGTACAGTTGATGTGCATCACCTTCATTTATGTTGTGTACATAGCTTTTGCATTAACTTACCAGGCTTGCTGGATACCAACTCAAATGAGAAATGGCTACTTTTCTATCAAAAATATGTAACTTATCCCTAAGGCCAGCTTCCGTAGCTGAGGACTACTGGTCCCATGGAACTGTCAGGAGTTCAGCCTACACTCGAGTAGGACCCTGGTAGAGACACATGCCCGACTGGCAAGCTCTCCCTCCTGGTCAATTGGGAGTTTCAAAAGCTTTCTTCTGCCCGAACATCACAGCGACCAATGCCAACCGACACCGGCACACTTAGAGATCCGCAGAGTGTTCGCAGTTTGTGTAACAGACCTCAGCAACTCAGCATTTTGGCTAATCTACTTTTTTTTTTAAAAAAAAATGATATTTATTAAGAATTTTAAAATTACAGAAAAAACAAAAAAGAAAAAGAAAGAGAAAAAACAAAAGAAAAACAAACCACAATCAAACAATACAAATTGATAAAAATCAAAATCAAAAAATAACAACAAAACACGTAACAGAACACAATCAAAAAACAAAAATAAGCCACAAAAATTTAAAAACAGATCCAATATTCTCAAATCCTTAACTGTCATTGCCTTCTTTCATTGACCTCCTCACTCCTCCCTTTTTTTGTATCCTAGTTGTTAATTATCACAGCAAATCCTTTCCATTTTTCATAATATTCTGTCATAACATTACCTTAGTCAATTTTAACCTTATCTTACTATAAAAAACCCTAAAACTTAAAACTTACATCTTATTTATACCAATTTCTCATAACCATCACATATTCTTACATAATTCTTTTAACATTTTTGCTAAAGCCAAATAATTTCGTTCCAACATTTTTCTAACATTCATCAATTTTATAAAGCAATCCTAATAAAAAAAAAAATTCAAATTTTCTTCCAATCTTCATCCAGCGTCTCTTCCTCGTGGTCCCGGGTTTTGTCAGTCCTTTCTATCCCATCAATCTGGCGCATTAACCTGGTAATCTTATGTCCGAGGCCCTTAAGTCCCTTCCATGTCCCTTCCGCGGCTCTTCTTCATATTTATACCTGTACTTTACTTTGTCTCCTGCTCCTTTCACTCGTGGGAACTCCAACTTGACAGTGTTTTTGACCCTTCTCGACAAATCAGCCCCTTTTCCATAGTCCACACTAAACTCCATGTGGTATTTAAAAACATGTTTCAAAAATCTACTTTATTTACATATAAACACACACGGAGCACTGCAACATGGCTCCCTCTCTGTCTAGCATCAGACAGGAAAGAGAAAAAGAACAAAGGACAATAGTCCCACTTTGCGGAACACAGTAACACAAATACCCTGTCTCTGTCACTTCCCACTCTGTGGAGTCAAAACATATACCGTCATGTGAAAGACAACAACACCAGGACTGCAATCACGGAGCCAGGAATTCTAACAGGAACATCAAGAGGGATCTTGGAAATGACAGGTCACATAGCTTAATGCATGTTCTGGAAAAAACAAGTGGAAATCATGGCTTTTGTCATTAACCTTTTAGAGTTATTTGAGAGTGTAAACAAGGATTTGCAATGCTATCCATTTCACACTGAGTATTTAGACTTTTGAAAAGCTTTGATAATGTATCTCTACGAGGACTCCTGAGCTAGTTTAGCAAGTCATAGAGTAAGATGAGAGGCACTCTTGTGAATCAGTGACTGCAGTAAGAGCTGTTCGACAGTGGAATTTTCTGCCAAGGAGTGTGGTGGAGTCTCCTTCTTTGGAGCAGAGGCTTGACAACCATATGTCAGGAGTGTTCTGATGGTGTTTCCTGCTTGGCAGGGGGTTGGACTCGATGGCCCTTGTGGTCTCTTCCAACTCTATAATTCTATGATTCTATGCTTAAGAAACAGGAAGTAGAACCTTCTGACACAGTGACCAGTAAATTTCAAAGTCAATGCAGTGTCTTCACAGTATGCTGCCAAATGTCACCCTACCTTTTCATGCCTTTTCAGTGAAAGAAAAAGAAAATGTACCATGCTAGTTTTTAAAAAATGAATTAACTAACCTTTACCAGTAAATATCAACATTCACTAAGCAATATTATGCACTAGATGCAATAATATGTGCCAAAAAAATAAATAAAACTAATTTGCAGTACAATCCTACCCCAATATTGATGGCTGGGGCATAGTGGGAGTGAATAGCTGGAGGCTCCTACTGTCAGCATTTATCCCACCAGTAGAATGCAGTTGAAATTCTCAAAACAGGGTGTTTGGGAGAGGGGAGAGGAAGGGGTTGTGCCAGAGGCTTTAGATTTGCTGGGTCCAAAGGCCAATCTCTCGCCTTCCATGATGTGCTGGGGCTTGGAATGTGCCAGTTGATTCCCTTTGCTCTGTTGCTCCCTGGCCAGGCATTGCGCTGTGTAAAGATAGACAGATATCTGTTGTTTTAAATAACTAACGAATGTTAGAAGCCCAGCCCAAATGTGCCCCTGCCCGGAGTATGTCTAACTGTCATCTCAGCTGGCAGCCAGTAATAGGACGGAATTTGTTATTGAGACTTGCTTACAGGTCCGTTTTCGGATAACAGGATCTGGCCCATCAGTGGAGCTCTTTCATAAATATACAGTACTTGCTGATCAGGCTTCGAAACACTGCATAAAAAGAATGCTTACCATTTGAAAGTTTTCCTGAACCCTGACAATTAAGTGTAGGAAATTTAGGAGGAGGAGTGAAGGCATATGTAAGAATCCCCACAACTCTGAGATCATGATCTAAATTAATTTTGCTTATTATTGTTTAATCGTTTTTAACCGCAGGCACTAGAATAGTAATTTCAGCAGCACACAATAATAGTATTTATTTTTTATAGCCCATAGCATGCTGCATGTTGCACAACTAACTGTGTAACTTAGCAATCATCTGAAAGATACTGGAATCCTTATACATGTTTATTCACAAGTATGTTCCCCTGAGTTTATGCCCAAGAAAGGGCATCTAAGTGCAGCATTTATTCTGTTTTTAAAAATTAACTAAAATTAAGAGTACAGAAAATCTTGTTCCAGTCTTTCTATTTATTAATGTATTTATCTTGTTATTACAAGGGCAATCTGAGTATGGAATTAGGGATCTGCACATAGATCTGGCTCATTTGGCACAGACGAAAGATACCCAGGGAGACTTTCTCAGTGTTCAGATTCTCTTTGCCTAGAAACATCTTCTTGAAGCAGCATAAGCTGTTTTTAGTCAAACTTGCTCTGATTGTCTCAGTAGCAGGGTTGGGGTATGTTAGAATAGTGACCTTACTTTACTCCCTCTGGACTGGGATGCATGTGGTACAGTGGTGCCTCGCAAGACGAAATTAATCCGTTCCGCGAGAGTCTTCGTCTAGCGGTTTTTTCGTCTTGCGAAGCAACCCTATTAGCGGCTTAACGGATTAGCGCTATTAGCGGTTTAGCGGCTATTAAAGGCTTAAAGCCTTAGCGGATTAGCTGCTAAAAGGCTATTAAAGGCTATTAAAGGCTTAGCGGATTAGATAAAGGGGGGGGAAAGCGAAAAAAAAATCTCAAGACTCGCAAGACATTTTCATCTTGCGAAGCAAGCCCATAGGGAAATTCGTCCTGCGAAGCAACTCAAAAACGGAAAACCCTTTCGTCTAGCGGGTTTTCCGTCTTGCGAGGCATTCGTCTTGCGGGGCACCACTGTATCTGTAAGTCCAAATGAGAAAAATAAATAAGACAACACAGTACTTTGTAAAAAAAACACACAAAAAACCCAGCAGCATCCAGCCCCTGGTTCACATCAGAATAAATCACACTGAAGCCCATTGATTTCAATTGTGTCATGCCTGGCACTCTGATGGTTTCTTTTACCGTGATCATAAAATCATTGACTGAACAAATAGTTGGTACTGCCAGCTTTGGCATTGCAAAACATCAACCCTCCCTTGCTTGGGTGTTGGGTGTTGGGTGTGGGGCTGGACAGAGCTGTCCCTCTTTCCCAGCACTCATGGGAATCCTTGTTGACAAGCACTGCTCCATTGGTGTGTCACCCCCCCCTTTCCAAACACATGGGGGTGGGTGGGATGCCTGCAAGCATTCATTGGCAGGTGGCCTTGAAACAGGCCATTTTGGAGGTGGGGAAGGGGATCCCCGGGGGGTTGGAGTCTGAACTGAGCCAACTGCCATTGTACAACATCCTCAGGCCCCGGGTGGGCCCAGTTGCTGGAGCACCTCTTGGCTGGCACAGAGAACTTCTCATTGTCCATGTTCTGCCCTAACCATTCTGCATGGCAAGGCTGTGGATGTGGGGGCCACCCTGACATTTTGTAAAGCCCCACACGGCGGAAGGGTTTGCATTGAGGTCTAAGAAGCTGCAGGAGCTTGCTGAGACAAAAGAAATTCCATACATGTAACGAATATATCCGTTTATTCTCTTCTTATCTTAGTGCTGTTGAAGCGGAAAACATGGGAATGAATGAGTCATTGGGGACATCTTCATATACACTAACTCAGTGTTTTTCTCTAGAAAAATAGGTGCTGGTATTCACCGTGAAGTTGTTACAGTAAGTGCCACACTTTTTAACAACAAAAAAGAGGTGTCAGTACTGTGTACCCTTGAATACCGCCTGAAAAAAAAAGAACTGCACTTACTCCAGTTCTATAGAGTGGGAATATTGTGATGAATATAATTATGTTTATTCTTAATGCAAACCAAGTTTATGCTTTAAAAAACTCATTTAAGAAACAAATCATACAATTTTAATGCAGGTAAATATTTAGACCAATGATGGATTTTTAAAATAAGCTTTAAATTCAGTAAATTATTGAAATGAGAGAAGGGTCAAACCAGACATGGTGTATGCACTCGCTGTATTGAACACCTGTCATCTTCTTTCTTCATGAAAAGGAAGTCACAGGGGGACCCAGTTTGGACTGAGGCCAGGTCACCAGGGAGTAGAGTGGGTGGGTCTGACACCACATTGAAGTTCTAGAAATAAAATGAATAATTCATTTCAAAGCTGTATTGGTTACAGACTGCAGATGGAAGATGACTTTTGGATGAAAAAAAAGGAAAGCTACGCTGCTAGATATCTTCCCCTGAGGTAATTGTTTTTCCTGGGCACAATTTTTTTTTACATGGGGGGACATTCAAATATGTGACTCCTCACTATAAGCAATCTTAAAAAACACACTTCCATTAACAGTATTTAACATGATTGTAGATCAGCCCCAATGCGTGGAAATTTCACTTGGCAGGCTGTTTGTTTCACTCTGGTCACTCTGTGCATTTGTTGTTCTGGCTTCTTTTTACAAAGCAATATGGGGTTGAGTTTTCACATCTTCTGCTATACTTGCAAAAATAAATTTAGTAAATGAGTATGAGATAAATATAAAAAGCTTGCTGGAAAATAAAACACCAATGTAGCTTTAACCTACAGTATAGAGATTTGTTAACAGAGATGGGGGTTAAATTAAAGAGGTTTGAAGAAATAACAGTGATATTAACAAGCTGGTTACAATATTATCAACTTAATTAACTATTTAAGTTAATAAAAGGAATGGTTTTACAAATCAAACCTCTCAGTTAGAGAAAGACCTGCTAAAGAATAATCAAAAAGTAATGTCTAAAATATTATTAGAATGGCAAACAAACTACCGGTACTAACAGGTCAAATAATTGATGATACATTGGGCAATGGATATAGGACATAATATTGAAATGGCAGCATGGGAAAGATTGTGGAATGTGGACTTCAAATTTACAGTGTTATGTGTTAAAAAGAAAATCATATGAAAATGATGTATAGATGGTATTAGAACCCTAGTAAGCTGGCTAAAATGTACAAGGTGGAATCAAATACAGGCTGGAAATGTAAAGAAAAGGGAGATACTTTTTTCACATGTAGTGGTTGTTTAAGATAGCAAAAGTCTTGGAAATGGTTTATAATGAGTTGGGAAAAATGTTGAAAATAACATTTGTTTTTAAAAGAAACCAGCTTTCCTTTTAAGTATAATTGGTGGAGAGATACCTAAAGAACATGGAAAACCCTATTTCTGTATGCTGTCAGGGCTGCATGAATGGCATAGGCCCAGAGATGGAAAGACGAGGCTGCGCGCTCCCCAGCCCAGGCTGCTTGCGACGCTTCAAGCCCCGGCAAGCGGCACCCTCTCGGCGGCGCGCGGCAGGTGCTTCCCCAGTCCCGTCCCGGCCCTAAGCAGGAAGCCGCCCTGCCGGCTCGGAGGAGGCAGCCCAGAAACGGGGCCGGGGAGCAAGACGCCGCCTCAAGCCCCGCAGAGAAGGCCGTCGGCTGCAGGAGCGGCGCCTGCATCCCGCTTCCCGGAGCGGCGCCTGTCCCGGCATTGCCGCGCGTTTGGGCGGGCTGCGGAGGGGCGAGCGCCGCGTGCGCCCCAGGAGGCGGGCGAGGGCGGGAAGGCGGGCGGCTGGCTCCTCCCGCGCGCCCTGAAGGGGCTTTGGTGGCGCTTCCCCCGCTGCACTGGAGGGGCTGAGCTTTTCTGGACGAGCGCTCAACGTGCTGCAGATCTGAAGCGTAACAAACGGCTCCTCATTGTCCACACCCATAAAAATATCCAAACTTTTACTGGCAGAACTCATTGAAATAAAGCAGAAAACATTTTTTAAAAAAAGGAAAGACGAAGCAGTTCCAGAGAAAGACCATGGGCAACTAGAACTGATGGAATATGCAGAGATGGCAAAACTTAACGGAAGAGAGACTTTTTTTTTAACAGAATGGAGAAAATTTATTGGATATATGAAGACAAATTGTAAATAATTGAAAATGTTAGCAGGATTGACATAAACACGAGCAGTAAGAAATAATTAAAAGGGAACATAAAGAAGAAATTTGTAAATAAATTTGAATTGGTTATGCAGTAAGAATATGACATAAAATAAGGAACCACGGGGGGAGGGGGGATGGAATTTTAAGAAAATAGAGGTTGAATTTGTTTAGATTTTTGTTGTTAAAACATTGTAAAATGCAAAAATGAAAAATATTTTTTAAATTAAATAAATAAAGTACATTGAAAGTGCAATATCTAGGAAGCACAATGTGCTTATTCATGAAACAACTGACACCAGAATCCTGGCAAAAGCCAACAACTGCAATTGTCCCAAATAAAGATCAGTTATCCCCTCTACTTCCAGTGTTCAGTGGTATCATTGCTCATAGAGCAAAAATGGCACCACCGCTCACACACCAGAGGAAGGTATCAGTGGCTTGAGGGAACCCCAAGACTGCAGAAGTATGGAAAATCCATGGGGAGGGAACCCCAAAACAGATCAGCATTTGGTGCTCAGCAGCTATCAGATGTTGTCTGGCTTTGGGGGTATGGTATTGAAATGGTTGGAAAGGGAAAGGAGTGGAAGATTCTGGAGGAAGGTGTGGCTGACTGACTGCAACATGGTGCAGGAACAATGAGACATTTTGTTGCATGTCTCCCTCTTGACCTTTTATATGGCATGCTCACAGAAAGTGCAAGATAAAGAGAAGAGAGAAATGTACAATTGTTGAATCGCCATCACAAGATGTCTTGTGAAGTAAATGTCCACCTCCTCAAAACTTCCAGTTTTCTAGCTGAAGAAAATGAAAAATTAAGGCTTTTTATGCTCATTACTTGTGCCTTATTGCTGTCCCTATATAAATGCATGAAACAATGGGAATATCAGCTTGCTAGAGGATAAAATTAATGTAACAACAGAGGTAAGCATTGCTCAATTTTTCCTCATACATTGATTAGTTGGGGAGATGCCCCAACAGCAATATTATTTCAGTTACAATTGTAAATTAACTTATAACCCTGTCCTCTGATGGCTGATGTATTGAGAACACAAGATTGAAGAAAGCAATGATTTTTCATTTGATCCAACTGTGCCATGAAGTTCTGAGGTGCATTTTATGTTATAAATTTAAAATTTGTCACACCGTGACAGAGTTCTGACACCTGTCTCTTTCCTTTCATGTTCTCTACTTCCTGACAACACACCCTTCTGTCAGAGACATTCTACTTCTGAAGAACGTATGACAGACCCTCAAAGTGTCCCTATTTTCCAGCGATGTCCCTGATTTAGAGAAGCCGTCATGGTTTCTGATTTGATCCCAGAATGTCCCACTTTTCCTTAAGATGTCCCTATTTTCATTGCAGAAATCTTAGAGGGCATGGAGTTATCTGTCCCCAAGCCGTCTGAATGCAGTCCTGTATAGGGAAGTTGTTTAATGTTTTATTATGTTTTAAATATGTTGGAAGCTGCTCAGAGTGGCTGGGTCAACCCAGTAAGATGTATGGGGTATAAATAGTAAAATTATCATTCTGGAATGGGACGTCCCTATTTGCATCAGAGAAATGTTGGAGGGTATGGGGTGAGCCATTGATTTTGAGCAGTCAAAATGTTCTGCACTGCAAAAATAAGTTTGTGAGGATATATGTAAGACATGGAAAGTGCTTGGCAATTGTTAAGACTTTAGTTACAAGGTTTGGGTTGAATTCATTAGGATACTGATTTGGTTTGGAGTCAGCTTTGGTCTTTTGTAATTGGTACTTAGGCCCTTAAACTGGAGACCACTGGAGAAACAAAGTGGGGAACGCTTGAATGACGGTGGATTCAGGATCCATAGAATCTCTCTCATTAGCCAGGAGTGTTAGTCTGGTTTGGTTCTTGTGTGGTGTTCCTGTACAGACTAGTAAAATTATTATTCAATATGGCCTTCCTCAATGAGTTGCATCTGTTTGTTATTCAATTGACAAAGTTCTCATATTTCCTTCAATAATGGGCACAAGTTACAAGTGACGTGATTAATCCTGATAGAATTGTAGAAATGTAGAGTTGGAAGGGGCCATGAGGGTCATCTAGTTGAAGCCCTTGCAATGCAAGAATTTTTAACCCAATGTGGGGCTCAAACCCTTGACCCTGGAATTAAGAGTCTCATGCTCTACCAAACTAGTTATCATAAGTATTTCTAAGATGCATTATGCTGAGAAACCAAAAAAACAAACGAAAACAACCCATAACAATTGCTCTTAAAATACTCTTGAACATACCTAACTGTGGGCCTTCAAGATATGCTGAGAACCTTGGCCACAAACTGAAATGACTTCTCCCCTTTCATCCTAGCCCAAAGTCTAAAATGTCCTCTTTGTTTGGGCATCACTATATGCTTCTGTAGGGGAAATTTACTGTGGAAGACTTTTATATTTCAAGCTGCCTATACTGAAGTTTAAGTGATACACCATTTTCATTTACTGATTTAAAAAATACAATTATTCATTAAAAAAAGGAATACAAATACAGCCTTAGCACATGTTTTGGAAAGTCTACAGCTCCACCCCAGCTACTGTATTCTTGTTTTCCTGAAATGCCTCAGAGGATGGGATAAAATGAAATTAAAAAGTTATTACTCTTCTGCTCTGTATGTCAGGACTATATCAATATCAGGCACATACATTGTAGTACTGACATCAGTGCTTTTGCAAAGGAGGAGTGTTTTTTTGCTCAACATCTCATGGATGTGCACAGTTTTTGTTATCCTTAATTTCAAATGAAATGCATGCCTGAACCTTCAGCTCTTGTATGCCATTTCTTTTTCTGCTCAAATTCTCAGGAGTGCCTTTAAAATCAGAAGCTCTTTTCTGTGCTTGCTACTATGCAAAAATTTGACCACGTAAAAGAAAGGACATGTTCAGCTCTGCTTGATTTGTCTTATTCCAGTTCCACAGCCTTTCTGAAATAACCTATCAATTGTGGAAGAGTTGCGGGTGGGGAAAAGGGGGGTGTGCAATTTCCATTAATAGAAAGAGAACAATACATCTTGGAGACAGTTCGTTGTTTTTCCCCCTCTGGGAGCATTTTCTTTCTTGATCTGTGGCTTTGAGAAAAGATAATTTCAGGAAAGCACTTCCTAAGAAACTACAACTAGCTTAGCACTAAAGCACAAGAGATACAAGAAGATTTCTAATTATTGCATCCCAAAAGGTCAGCTTAACAGAAATTTAAAGGGAGAATAAGACAGATGGCATTCTTCTAATGTTATAGTCTGAGAATTTTCAATTTGTAAGTAGTCCTTACTTTTTGACTGTTCAGCAATCCAGTTTCCCTGACCTGATCGGTTTCCAGCCTGCCTATAACCCCAAATTCCCCCCTTGTGGGTGGGAGCATGTAAACATAGTCAGCTGCCTTATACTCTATTGGACCCTTCTCCAGGCCACAGCTGCTGCATCTGGCCGGCCGCAGGGCCAGCCCTACCATTTATGCAGAATAAGGCAGCCATATCAATCAGATGATTTGGGTGTCATGGAAGAGCAAGAAAGTGTTCATTACTGAATTTGTAGCCAAGGGCTAAAATAAAAACTCTGACACCAGTTGAACTATAGGCCACATTATTAATAAATTCAAACAGGACCAGAATCTGCAGAGGGAAAGCTATCAGTGCAGGAGCTAAATAAACAAATTTCAGGGAAATGCCTGCAGCTGTAGGGTTTCTCTTGGGATAAGAGCCGCCTCTACTGGGATAAGGGGAGGCAAGTCCTCTTGCCCCCAACTCCAACTTCACCCTGAAGGTGAGTAGAGAGGCTTTCCTGCTTCATCACTTCCCAGGGCCTCAAAGCTCTGAGTGGATGTGGCACGTTGTCCCCAAATAGTGGCCCAAATCCTGCCACAGATCTTATAACCCTCAGTTACAAGATTAGCCACTCACCGCCCCTAAAGGTGATCTGCCTGTTTCCTCTCCTGCATCTACCTGCCTAAGTGACCATTTAAACCATTCAACCTCTTTAACAAACCATCATTCTGTCCCATGAAGTGTAGAGCAGCTAAAAGGACCAGTCTTCCAGGTGTTACCTGGCTGGCTAGAAATTCCTACTTGGCCCAAAAGGCAACCAAAGTAGCCACACTATGAAACACAAAGAGTGGGTAGGTGCAACCCCTCAAAAGAGGAAAGTGGGTGGAACAGCTTGCAACTACTGTGCATGCATTCAGCTCCCCTCTTCCAAGCCGCACTGTGCATGAGGCACCCATTTGCCCAATGGGAAGGTGGCGGCTGGGGCTTCAACCCCAGAATGCAAAGTATTTTCCCACAATCCAATATGAGATCAGGAGTGGTGACTATTATTGCTGTATTTTTATTCCTGTGAGCTTTTCTGTTCCAAGTGCCAATTTAACTTGGCTTGCTTTGGATACTATGCACCTTGTCTTGAAAGGGGGCACCATTTCTTGCTGCCCCTAAGGCAGAAAAATGTCTTAGACCAGCCTTGATTGGCATCACTTCTTCACAATACCTGGCAGGGGTATTACCCTGTCTTCCACAGTACTTGAAATCATGAACCTCTAATAGGAAATTCAGGACAGGAAACTAAGGGCTGAACCACACTTGCTGGCAAAATCCTGACTATTGTTGTTCAGTGGTTCCCTGCTTGTAAACTTTTTATTTTTGCCCTGGAACCTCTTCAGCAAACTTCTGCTTCTTTGTTTACTTTTGGGTTGTGCTTAGTCCATTTTTTTCTGAGTGTAACTGACTCTAATGAAAAACTAACCATGGGGAGGGGAGTGTGGAAAGGAAGGGAGGAGGTGGGAGGATTCCTGTGGATCTGTGAAAAATTCAAAGAAAGCTGTTCATGAGGCCTTCCAAAATCAGTTTACCAAGTGGACCAAAACACTTTCCGTACAACTGGCAACATTTCCGTGCAACATTTTCACATTTTCCATGCAACTGGCAAGACTGGATTTTCACAAGAAACTTATGGCACAGCCACAGAACAATGTGAGAAGCTTTCAGAAACGAAGGAATGAATAGGTGCAAAAGCTGATCAAAATTTGAGCCAAGCAAGAAAATGGGTGGGCCCTGAAACAAAGGAATCTGACACACTGAAAGCATAATATCAGTGAACTGTCACCTTCCCTTAACCAAGTCAACAGAGGGACTAGAAAAGAATGAGAGTGAATGGAGGTGTGTGTATTTAAGGTTCAACTGTGACAAGAAATAAAGGGTTATTTAATGGATATAAAAATATTAAACCATGATCGTGTGCTAAAGCTTGCTGCGATAGCAAACCTGGGTGGTTTTGAACTGGATAAGCTTTTCTACATGGTCGATGTTCCGTGTAAGTTTCATTCCCGGTATGGTGCTTCTAGCTCTTTCTCAGTGGACAATCCCACTTTGGCCTGCAGCCCAGATCTCAGTCTTGTTTCAAGGAACACCTGCATTTCTCAGGCATCTTAGAAGTATTAAAATGAATAGCTTGCAGAGAGGGTGCCCTTTCCCAAGGCACAATTTAGGACTATTATTGTAGCTCAAGGATTTTAAGTGACTGTCTTGTTTTCTCTTTGTCCTTTTTTAAAAAAGGACTAGGTCATGATGTTGAAATGTGTATGATGGGTTTCAGGTTATGATACTGTTCTCATTTTTTAAAAAAGCATGCTCTTTTACTTCCTTTTCATCTTTGACAGTATGTTTACATGTTCTGTTAGCTATGTAGAATCTGCTGGGAAATATTTTGTGTGCCAACAGTTGGTCCACGTGGAGGATGCAACAATGTAGATCCACATAGCGTGTGTATCTCTTGAATTTGATGGAACCTCAGTTTGCTAGGACCTGATTTTATGGTGCCATATGGTTTACATGCTAACTGTCTCTATATGTTTCAATTAAACAGGTAATGTGTGAAGCAACTATATAAGCCAATTGTTGCAATAGACCAGTATAAGACCATGTAGTCTTCGGGATTTTCTTTTGCATGTTGTTATTATTTATTGAGTGCCATAATGTATATGGAAGCTTTTGGTCTAAAGCACAGTAGTGGGGAGGGAATAGGTATAGGAGGTATGGGAGATGCATAGATAAGGAATACATGCATGCAAGGCTGCATGAAAGAGGTGGAAGAGCTCCAAGGACTCCCAGAGGCATGGTTGTGAGGAGATTATCGCTAAATTTGGAGGACTGCGGGGGGGGGGAGAGGGGAGCTAAGGATAATGGCATGAATTGCAGACCAACTGCTTGAAAGATGGCACCAGCCACCTCTTCATTTAAAAGTGGGAGAAGCCCTAAGCTAAAACAGTCTAGTGGGGAGAATCTTTTTTCATCCTGAGGGCCATATTCTCTTTTGGACCACCTTCTGGGCGTCACATCCCACTGGTGAGGGGAGGAGATACAAAAGTGGATGGCATAATGGATTTAACTATTACCTTTAAACAGCAGACTGTGTTCTTGTTATGCAAAAGTCAGATATTTACACACATACACCCCTCCATCCTCCATACAGAAAAGCCAGAAACATGATCACAATACAGTGACACATTCCAGCCTGGCACAATTACTGAAAGACAGACTGGCTCAGGGAAGGTGAGCAGCAGAGCCAAGGGAGCGTCCCAAAGCCCAGGTAGAGAGGCACAGGTGACCACATTCAGCTGCTGGGGCAGAGGCGCTTCATCCCATCCCTGCCCTAAGCAGAGGTGTAAGAGTGCTCTGCCTACAGAAGCCACCATCTTGACAGCTGGAGCAGTCATGCAGTTTTCTTCTCCCTTAGTTTTCTGTGAACAGCAGCTATGAAAGATTTTAGCTTTATCATATCTGCTCGTGAGTGATTTATTGTATTTCTTTCCTCACTCAACAAGTTTCTTAGTGATTGATGTTTTTAAAACCACAATGCCAGAAAGAAAACCATGTACTTTTTAATATATATATATATATATATATATATATATATATGTATATATATATATATATATATATATATATGTGTGTGTGTGTGTGTATATATATATATATATATATATAACCATAGGACATTCCCAGTAATGGTTTATATTTATATTTCAAAAGTTGATAACTATTTTAAGAGATTGGCATTAACCAAACGTTGCTATAGAACAACATATTTTCATAGTACTATAGGTAACTCCCTTTTCACCTCTGATTTCCTATTTTCTGCTTTCCTGTAAAAAATAGGCAGTTATAGGTTAATTCCAAACAAGTTTACTCAGAAATAAATTTCACTGAGTTCAGTGTGTGCAACCGTATGCATGTTCACTTTTAAATAAGTATCAATGTGTTCACTGCAGCTTACTTCTTAGCAAGTGCAATTAGGATTGGAACCCTAAGGTTTCCCAAAATTACAGCTTTAAATTACGGTAATTTTACATTTGCATTCTCTTTTTAAAGGCTGCTATAATTAATTTTTAAACCTAGTTTAATGAATCCCATGTTAGCTCCATTTTCGCTATGAGCCCACAAAATGTCACTTTATTAATTTCTATGCACAGAGTGTGTAGGGCATAGAGGTCTCCCCTGTCCCTTCCTGGACCTTCCCAGAGGCCAAACTAGCTCTCGGTGCTCCCAGTATTCCACCCTCTACAGATTCCCCCATTTGATATTTGTATAAAAAAGAACAAAAAGGAGGATCAATAATCAGGAGAGCAAGTCTAGTCAAACTAGTCAAACAGTAAAGTCTTAGCACAAAGACTTAGCACAACCATCACTTTAATTTTCTATACCAGAGAGGGACAAAGACCTCACATTCCATCACGTGAAATGGATCAGTTTATACAAAGAAGGAACCAAAGAAGAAAATCATGACCACACTCACCTCGTGAGGAGGAGTCACTGAAGGAGTACATCTGTGCGCGGTGGGAAAATGTTTCAGCTATTTGGTTAATATATGGTAAAGGATTCCCTCAGGGAAAACAAAGAGGGCAGCAATGCCACCGGGGTCCTTGATTGTTTGAGGTCACTCCTGGTCTGAATTAGCAAGCAGATGACACAGCTTTCAAGTAGGTTTCTGCTACTATTGCCCTTTTCATAATTTCTTTTTATTAGTATACCCTGGATGTTGAAGAGGTGGGATGATACATGTCTGTCTCCTTACTGATGCCATTTTGTTTTTTTCTCCTTCAGTTTGAATGGGTCATTCGAGATGCTTAAAAAATGTGGTAATATGACAACATTCCTGAAATGCAATGGTCTTTTTTTGCACTTGGGGGAAAAGGTATGAGTCTGTTATCTAAACAATTAAAGAATAAAGTAGCTCTGGAATGATTGACATTATCTATAATTATTCTTGCTTTTTCCTTATATGTTATAAACTATCATTTTTTTGCAATATTGATTGGTATGTGCTGATCAATTGCAAAATTTGTATATGCTAAGGCCACAGCAGGCATATGTTAGTGATATGGAGCAGCTCAGTAGTGAATAGTCAATGAAACCTTTGAAATGATTAATACAGGGAGCTCGTATTTTGCAACCTGGTAAGTGCCCTGAAAGCCTCCTGCTCCTTGTGGTTAAGAGAAGTGGAAGGCAACACAGCATCTCCTTCTTCTGCCCCACTCCTGGCCATGCTTTGGAAACAAGAAAATGTTCAATGTGTTTAATATGATGGGGATGGGGAGAGAGCCGGATTTAGTTTGATGAGGCCCTAAGCTACTGAAGGTAATGGGGGTCTTTGTATGTCCAGCTGTCCCTTGTCAACAACAAATTGTCACTGTTTTTTTGTGTTGAATATATACTATATGGTAACTTATGGACCTAAATGGTGTTGCTGTATGTAGGTTTAATTTTATTTGGTTTTTTGTCTTATATTTTGGAAATGTACATCCAGGGTTTTTTCCTTTAATTTTTTGGGGGTCCCCCAAGAGAGTGGGGCCCTAAGCTGTAGCTTGTTTAGCTTATATGTAAATTTGGCACTGGTGGGGAGGAAGCTCTGGCCATGCGCAAGACTTATAGCCCATCCATGCTTCCGCTTGTTCCATGCCTAGAAAGCATGGGTCAAAACAGTTCTCTGCTTGTTCCATGCTTTTTAGGCATGGGTCTGAGAGGTTTTGCCCTTGCACTGTCACTTTCCCCTGGAAAACCTGCTCTTTAGGACTTGTTGTTGTTTAGTTGTTTAGTCGTGTCCAACTCTTCGTGACCCCATGGACCAGAGCACGCCAGGCACTCCTGTCTTCCACTGCCTCCTGCAGTTTGGTCAGACTCATGCTGGTAGCTTCAAGAACACTGTCCAACCATCTCGTCCTCTGTCATCCCCTTCTCCTTGTGCCCTCCATCTTTCCCAACATCAGGGTCTTTTCCAGGGAGTCTTCTCTTCTCATGAGGTGGCCAAAGTACTGGAGCCTCAGCTTCAGGATCTGTCCTTCCAGTGAGCACTCAGGGCTGATTTCCTTCAGAATGGATAGGTATGATCTTCTTGCAGTCCATGGGACTCTCAAGAGTCTCCTCCAGCACCAGAATTCAAAAGCATCAATTCTTTGGTGATCAGCCTTCTTTATGGTCCAGCTCTCACTTCCATACATCACTACTGGGAAAACCATAGCTTTAACTATACGGACCTTTGTTGGCAAGGTGATGACTCTGCTTTTTAAGATGCTGTCTAGGTTTGTCATTGCTTTTTGGAACAATCAATGATCTGAGGAAAACTCAATTGCCGTTTGTTCTGCTTCAGCTCTAAGCCGCAGGTTTTCCTGGGGGAAAGTGGCAGGGCAAACAAAGGTGTGGATGAGCCTTATTTTAGCGGGAGGTGAGTGGGCTCAGGAGTGACACCAAATGTCGCTCCCCCAACCTGCTGTGATAAAGGAGTGGCTGCTCCTTCACAACCACCAGTCCCATCCTCACAAATGGCTCAGGGCTGGATCTGTGTCAGGGGTGTGCGCACACCCCTATTGCAATATTTGCTTTGACAGCGGCAGAGGAGAAGGCAGAGGAGAGGCATGACAAAAGAAACCAGGGATAAATCTGAGGAAAATTCAGCTTCATGTGCTAAGGATTTCTTTCAATAAAAGATGAGGACTAAGCCAAAAACACACACACAAAGGGTGGGTTCTGAGCAGAGGGTTTTTGCAGGGGGGGGGGACACATAGAAATAAGGCGGCACCACAGGTGCAGTTTTTATTGACACGATTATTTAATAGAGATGGATGAGACAATTTTCAGGCTGTGCCTGTTTCACATCTGTTCAATCACAGATACATTCTGTCCTGTTTCCATATCATTATGGAATAAAAAAAAGAATTGCATTAAAAAATTTACCCTAACACAGGGGTTCCCAAACTGTGTTTTGTGGACCAGCAGAGGTCTGCAAGTTCATGTGGTCCACAGTGCGTCTGCAAAAATGCCATTAAGAATCATACAGCAGCTGGTTCAACACATTACAATTGCTAAAGGAGGCAGAAAAATTAAGACTCTCCGTAATTTTCAAGTTGTCTGTGGAGGGTGCATTTTTGCACACGTTGAACCCTAAGAAACACATATTTGTACTTTAAATTTGTAATTTAAAACCTGCATTTCAAATGCATTTTGACACTTTTTTGAGATGCAAAATTCAGAGAAGTGTGAAAACTGAATGGTAATTGTGTTCCAATCTGCATATTACTCTGGACAGCTTAAATCTGGCCAATTTGCTTACAAATGCAGGCCAAACAAAATCCCAAAGCACCTTCATTCTTGTGTCTCTAGCAGCTATATGGAGGGCAGAAATCCATCAGGTGACATTTTTCTTAGTAGACAGAATGCACAAGTTAAAAGCACAGGGGTCCTTCCAGTAAAAAGCCAATGAAAACCATTGAGAATTTGATGTTTCCTAGACCATCTAAACTGTGATGAAATGAGCTGATTTTATCCATATGTAGGTAAGCATTTCCCACCTCTTAAATATACAGTACTGCTTATTGCTCCTTGCTTTCCAGTCGTGTCTCAAAGCCACTAGCTCAGTTGCTAGTTGTTCACAGAACAGCTAAGGAAAAAAACAAACAAACAAAAGGGATATCATGTTAGGTGACCCAGAGATTAATTCAAACTACTCTGGGGTAGGTAGAAGTGCCATTCAGTTTCAATCTGAGAGAAAATTCAATTTCAATTCAATCATATTATCCAGTGATTGGAGGGCTCTGTGGTTGTACCCCCAGAGATCAATATTTCATCACTTTAGGCTTGTGTCTAGCTTCCTTTTATAAGAGAAAACACTGGATACCCTTTGTATGGGGGTTACGTCTTCAGATTACGGATGGAATTTAATGCTGTACCTTTAGTCAAGAAAAAAAAAGACCTTTAAAACCTCATATTCACACTGGCTAAATTGACTCCTTTTCCTTGTGCAATCAGATTAATTCTGTTCCAAAATCTAATCTGCATGGGAGGGGGGTGTTAAAATTTTTATTTGCTGCTAAAGGAAAAAGTTGATAAAATCAATAAAGGGTGTTAAATTGACTGAAGCACATCTTGGTACTGGAAGGAATACCTGTCGTTCTGGGGGGAGCCTGTTTGATTTACTGCCGCAGCTCTGCATGCACAATTGTTTGATGGCATTGCTTCCACAAGTGAACTTTGGTTAGAATTCTAGAGAGTTTCAGGCTGGATCTACATATGCAGTGGTATATGGTGAGCCATAGTGGGAAACCAAAAGGGAGCCAAGAGGGGCTACAGAGAATGGACAATGTGTAGGAGTGGTGGAAGCAGCACTGAGAGTGTGAGCATGGGAACGAGGCAAATGTGCCTTACAGAATTGGCCCTAAAACTGTGCCCTGCTGTCACTTGATTCTTGCTGTGTCAGTAGCTCTGGGCATCTGTAGCAGTGCCACCACAGAGATCAGGCCCACAGCATCTCTTCCAGGACACACTTGCCTCTTTCCCAAAGCAAGTAAGCAAATGAAAGAAAGAAAGAAAGAAAGACGGAGAAACCAAAATTGACAGAGTCATCCACCCCAGTTATACATATCTGGAAACCAGCAACCTTCCATGGAAAACAAGAAGTGAAGTACAGGCATACCTTCAAAGCTTCCCAGAGTTTACCACATCATTGTTACGTATAGTAATGGAAGATGTGTCTTATGATGACAAACACAAGAGTTCCCATAATCACATTTTGAGCTGAGCCCATGAGATCACCACTACTTGAGCATGCCAGTTGACAGAGGCAAGTTTAGGGGTGGAGCTGTGGGTGCTCCACATTCTATGATGTAGAATGGAAGGTGAGAGGCAGGGGGAGGGGGTTTTGGCATCACACAGTGCACAGCTGAAATTTGAGACCCAAAGGGCCAACACTGCAATTGATTGAAATAGGATGCATTGAGAACTGGTTTCCCCCTGTGTCCCAGGGATTCTATATATGAGATCTATGATGCCTCTTTTCCAACCAATCAAACCCTTAAGCAGAAAAGGCTGCTGGAAACTCTCTTAGGTTTGTTTCCCCCGCGCCATGTTTATTTTCAAAACCCTTAGACCAGGCTTCCTCAACCTTGGCACTCCAGATGTTTTGAGACTACAGTTTCCATCATCCTTGACCACTGGTCCTGCTAGCTAGGGATCATGGGAGTTGTAGGCCAAAAATATCTGGAGGGCCGAGGTTGAGGAAGCTTGCCTTAGACCTTTGGAAAGACCCTGAGCTTTCTCTAGGAAAGCTAAGAAAAACAAGTTAATTATGAGATGCAGTCACCTATAAAACAGCAAGTATATGTTTTATGAAATGAACAAGACAAATGAATGAACAGTGCCAATGGCCAGAATATCCCATTCTGTAGCAGTGCCTAAGAAACTTGCCTTTATGTTTTGAAGTAGAAGCTGCCAAGTATAAGCTCAGGACATCTTCAAGATGGAAGGATCGATATCTTTCTCTCACCAGCTATCTTTAAGAAAATGCAAAAAGAAATCAAAGACCTCTCTCATTCCTCTGAAGCTTCCAGAGCAATGAATCTAAGGCAGGAGCTTTGGAATCTGGGGTTTACTTCAGGTTGCTTTCAGTAGCTGTTAACTTTGAGTTTCAGAACTGTTTCAGATATGACATGAGCTATAATTTGGCAAGTCTTTATATGGCTTTCAGAGCCCTGTGTAAGATCTGAGAGACTGGAGTGGAGGCACAGCCAGGCAGAAAGGTCATCTCTAAGAAAAGCAGCCAGAAAGTGGGGAAGCACTGGAGTTAGTGAGCAGCTTACTCTTCTTCCTAAATGCACATTCTTCAGAGTGAGGAGCCAGGCCAGAATCTGTGTCCTCAAAGGACCAAGTGATACTTTATTGTCCCTACCACCACTGTCATCTGAAAGGTGCTAAGTAATCCTTGTTAAATTGTTTTGATTTTATTATAAAATGTAACACATTTCCCCTGAAGAAGAATTCTAACTCAAACAAAATATGTTGGGGCAGTAAAACATTTCCTTTCTTCTAGGTTGAAATATGATGTGAGAAGATAGTTGTGAGAGGATTTACCTCACATCTCCTGCATCATCTCCTTACAACCAGATTTCTAAACCAGAGTAGTATGACATGTGGAAAGTGCCCGTGCTACTCTTGGAGGCAGCAGCACTTCTGCACAATTTTTCTCCATCATCTGTCTCTCCCAAGCATCTTCATCTCATACATTGCTCAGGACGAGGCATGGGGTAGTCACACCAATAGTGCTTAGGTAATGCAGCATTTACTGGGCCTTTGATGTAGGCAGGGAAAATTACCAGATAATGCATACCTTTGGGATACATAGCAATTCACATCTCACACATGTGTGTTGAGAAATGGTCCACAAACATCTTCAGGCTGTTTCAAATGTAACTTTCTGATCTATATGGTTTGTTCTCTTCTCTGCATCCATCTGGACAGTCATTCCACTTGTGGCTCTCTGATCCCACATGTACTATGTTAGGTGCACAGTGAAAAGCACTGTAAGCCTTATCTCCATGCTGGAAAGTCTACTGGATGTATAGCCACGTGGGAACTCCCTCCAGTTGGACCAGAACTAGGGTGGGGAGAGAGGGGTCCTTGACCTGATTCAAGATTCCTGATTCACCAAAATCATGTCATATACATTATTTACATAAATAACATTTATTTTAATAATGTGCTAGATGAGATTATGGGATTTGGTGCTAAAATACAAAATGAGTTAAATCCTGCAGAAATTTCATCAGAAATTTAAGACTTCAGGTACTAGGCATTGTAAATTCTCTAAGTTGGCAACAAGTTTAGAACTCCTGAAAATAATCCATAAATATTCACTAATGGAGTCTCATCCAAATTTGGAAACATACTTGTCATTTTATTCCAATTGTTCATAATTTTCTATGTCATAAAATACATATGGAATTGGCTTAGGGGCATCTTTCATGTTGTTTGCCCTAGCACCAGAATGCTGAGCTTTGCCTCTGCCCTCCAATCCAAGTTTGGTGACCTGGACTCTAATAATGAATCCACAGAGCAATGATTGTGCATTACATGCTTATATTGTAGGCTATTTGGATCGTGTGGTCCACAATGTATTTCCTTTAGTTGTGAGTATTTTAAGCCAGCCCATTACATTGATGAGAATGCAAGCTAGTAAAAAAACAGTGGGGCCCCCTGTTTAATAGCTGGGACTCTTCTTCCATAGCATACTTACTAAAGTGGTTAATCCGGTCCTGGTTTGCCCAGAGGCCTATAATTGTGAAATCATTATGAAAACATGAGTCACACAGATCAATCAATACCTTGGCTCTGTAATTCCTGGCAATGCATTTAGGTAAGTATTGGAAACCACCATTCTCGTATTAATGTATATTATAGCTCATGAGATGAAGAGCCTATTGATTAATATTTTTATTTTAATGGTTGTGCTGATGCAGCATTTATGAAAGTACAACTGCATTGCTACTTTGGAGATGCACACAAAGTCTGGCTGGCATAAGCCCTGCATAGGGCAAATCCATGAAGACTAGACAAGGATTTTCATGACCCATGTTGCCACCTTTTTTAAAAAAATGTTTTTTAAAAAATATTTTTGCATTTTCTATTTTTCTATATATACAGCCTTGACATCCTTTGAGCACACTTGTGGCTTGTGACACATAGATTGCCAGACTGTCTGAAAAGATTAAGCAATATGAAAATGCTGGTATTTTTAACAGAGAGCAACTAGTCCATAACATAGTTTTCCAAAGTACTTGGATGGAGGTGAGATGAGAGTTGGGCCACAGTGACTTAAGCAGAATTAATATACATCAGAAGGAGGCAAGGATAATTTGTATGATCATGTTCCACATGCCATAAATGTAACTGTTTTATGAGTTTTTATGTGAAACTCGTATGACAGATCAGCTATTGTATACGAACATCTAAACAAATGTGGCCATCCAATACCAGTCAATGTAAGGCAAACTCATCTATCTACCTACAGTTCTCAAACACTTTAGCACAGGGAAAGGGAACCTGTTCAGTGCTATTTTTCTAGAAAAAGAGGCGCTGGAACTCACCCTGAATGCCTCCCTCGTTCTCTTATAATGGCAATGGTGCCCACTTGAGAGGTGCTGGAACTGAGTTTCAGAGAGTTCTAGCTAAAAAAAAGCCCTGCCTGTGCCTCTCCAGCTGTTGCTGGGTTACATTTCCCTAAATAAACACATGAGACTTAACCGGCTGTGTTCTAAGATAAATACTATTCATAGTATTTTCTAAGATAAGTACTATTCATAGTCTCAAATTGTAAATTTCCACAGAAGTAATTCATAAAGTAAGTAATTCATTTAACAAACAAACAAACAAACAAAGCAGAAGACCCAGTGGATCAGATCATTCTATAGTCAGTTCATGCATAAGGTCCATCCGTGTAATGGTATCTATTCCATAGGTTGTTTTGTTGTTGTTTTGTTAGGGTTACATCTCCCATCATCTGTGGCCATTGGCCAAGTTGTCTGAAGCTGATGGGAGCTAGACATTTGGAGAGCCACAGGTTTTGCGTGATTTAGCATGACCAAGAAACGGCTCAGGATGAAACTAGAAACAAGTGCCATATGCGTGAGACATTCAAAGTGGTATCATACCACTTTAAGCAGTCACATCTTCCCACCAAAGATTCCTGGGAACTGTAGTTTGTTAAGGGGGCTGGGTGTTGTTAGGATACCCTATTCCCACAGTGTTATAACTCTCAGAGTAGTTTAACAGTCAATCCCTCGTCCCAGGAACCTGGGAATTGTAGCTCTGTGAGAGGAATAGATATAGGTTTGCAGCACAGCCAGAGGGATGTGGGGAAAATACATTAAAAATATTTCTAGCATTGACAAAGACAAGCTACTTTGTACTTTTTTGTGCCAAAGTACAAAGAGAGGCTTCTGTCTTGAAGTACAATAATCTTATGCTCTTGTCCCATCTGACTAGAATCAAAATGGAATTTGTCTGGAAAATATAGGCTTTAGTGTACAGATGTCTAGGAGAGAGCGCTATAATGGCCAAGAGACTGATGAGCTAAGGCAGGTTTGTCTCTTTCAGCCTCAGTTTCTCTCCCTTACTCCACCCCCAGCCCCAGCCCTCCAATCTGCAATATGGGGGAATAACAGTCCTAACTTACCTTACAGGGTTGTGGTAAACGTTGCAGTTGGAAGATGCATGTGAAATGTTTTTACATCTAAAAGTGTTATATAAAGGCTGTTATTATTGTTGTTGCTTCTTTACCACATAAACCAAATTCAAAGATTCTCCTCACAGTCCCCAGTATAACCCTGGATTCTGAATGCATTGGTTGGTCAGTTGAATGGAGATCTCAATTCAGGAATCTCATTGGCATTAAAGAATTACAGCTCAATCCTAACCACGTTAACCAGTGCTATTTGTCTAGAAAAAGAGGTGGAAGTGGTGCCCAGCTGAGAGTTGCTGGAGCTGAGCTCCAGTGAGCTCTGGCTGGAAAAAAGCCCTGATGTTAACTACGAAGTAAGGCAAGCAGCATTCAATAGAGCTTACTCCAAGGTAAGTGGAGTTTGGATTGCAGCTCTATTTAATTTAATGCTGGGGGGAATTTTACAGACAAATATCTGACAACTTGCCCACAAGAAAACTTTTAAACTTGACTGATATGGTGACCTTAAAAATTAACAATCCATGCTACACACACTAAAGTAGAGAAACAAGTTAAAGTCTTTGCTTTAGTGAGTGTAGCATGGATTGTTAATTTTTAAGGTCAGGAGCAGGGACCAAGCAACGGGAGCTCACCCCGTCGCAGGGATTCGAACCGCCGACCTTCTGATCAACAAGTCCTAGGCTCTGTAGTTTAACCCACAGCGCCACCCGCGTCCCTAATAATTATGTATATGCGACTAAATCGAGGATTTCTTTCAGGCATGCAGTCTTGTTATACTGCTGCACTTGAATTTAAGTCAGTTCATGGCCATTGCACATACAGTAACTATTTTAATATGTTCAGATGCTGTATAAATAGATTCCATATAAATCCAGCAGCACCTTTTCAGACCAAATAATTTTCAATACATCATGTGCTTCTATTATTTATTAGTATACAACAGGTTACCATACCAACCTCTTCAGATGCAAAAGTGGATTACAACCAGATAAAAGATTTGAAGTGCTTTGACCAAGCTGCAGGGATGTTAAAAGATTGTTTACTCTCCACAATCCTTATTTCAAAAGAATTCCATGTGCATATTCTAACTTAGTCACTTCCTGGCCCTGAACCTAGTTGTATCTGGGTGGAGTCAGGAACTTCTTGTTGCTGTCATGCTCTTAACGAAGAGAGACAATCAAATTAATGTCAAGAAGCTTACTGACTAGTATATTCTCCAAGCCTTCCATGACAGACTGAACAAGTACAAACAGCATGGAGAACAGAATGATAAATGATTCTCTCAATCTTTATATAAAGGGAGAGGAATCTCCAGTTCCTGTTGTAATCCCTGGTTAATGCAGCTGTTTTTTGGTATTATTTGTAAAAAAAAAAAAAAATTCTCTTCATCAAAATAAACATTTCAACATTGTATCAAAACCACATAGGTGTTCTTTTCTTTTTTTAAAAAAAATCATCTTTACATTTTATTTTCATTGGATGAAATCCAACATTGCACAAACAGATTTCTGTTCATATAACAGGATTTCCTCTTCCTTTGCTCCTACCTGAGCCCCCCCCCCACATGAACTCAAAAACTACTGTGGAGGTTTGGGGGACCCTCTAGCTGGGAGACTGCAGAGGAGAAGAGGAGGCATATCCACTGCATGAGCGTAAGTTGGAGAATTATTATGTTAATTAAATGATTCAAATCTCCAGATAACCAACACACGCCTCATGGACATAGTAGCCTCCCTCGTGCATCCTCATCTCCTATATGCCAAATAGAATTGAGGGTGGTTTTTTAAATATATAGAATTGCCACTCCAAGAAGACTGTAATACTCACAGGTTTTATTATATTCTGCATTTACAGACACCTCTTCACTGTTGTTGTTGGTAAACGTTTGTCTTGAGAGACAATGGAGTGTGCCTGTTGGGTGAACTCAAACTGCTGCATTAGCAGCACTGAAGTGACTTCCCCAGAGTGCAAGCCTAGGCAGTGTGTCTGGAGGTCCTGGACTGCCCAGACAACAAGACTCACTTCTTGGTCTCACTGCTGTGGTCCAAAGGTAAGCAGAGCAATACATTTGGCACCAGCTTGGCTGCAGGGATTGCCCGAAGGAGGTGTATAACTGTCTTAGGGACTCTGGATTTGTGTAGGGTTTACTCCTTACCTCCCGCAAGGCAGCAGAGGTTTAGGATCCGAGATTTCCTTCTCCTAGATGGTTTGCATGTGCAGAAACTGCGTTATTGACTGTAGTGAAGGAATGGGTTTCTGTGTAGCAAGTTTAAAACTGACTCAACCCCCCCCCCTTTGTTCTTTTAAAAGAGAGCACTTTTAAATGCGTAAAACTTGAACTGTTGAGCAAAACCATAATAAGGACACAACTTTATCAGGACAGGCAAGGGATGGCCTTGGCTCCCCGGGAGAACAACGAGAACACCTCAGAACTTTATCTTATGTGCTGACCACAAAATACACACAAGACCAATGTCCGGGAAAAACGCCAAAAGTGTGTTTCCGGAGATTATGACGTCTTCCCAGAGTAGGAAGAGGAAAATCCTTTTATGGTCAGAAGTACAGGAAGGAAGATCCTTTTATGGTTGAGAGTACCAGAGCAGGAACATATGTGATGTCAACCTGCGTATACAAGTTGATGTGGCTGGGGAAGGGGGAGAGGATGCCTGAGGGTATATAAACTGCATGAAACCTGTCATTTCTTTGGTCTTGCTGTGGACTCACCACGCAAGTGCCTTCTGCTATCCGGAGAGCAGAATAAACTCTTTCTTTGAACCAACTCGGTGTCATTTTGACTTCCTTCCTCCTGTCACGGAGCAACGCAGACCCAATCGGTGAACTCCAATAAGGCTACAGTAGGACCCACTATTGCTCTCATCTGCTCAACCCGCCAGAGCCTATCTTCACATGCAGGGAAGTCCCTAACTCACCAAAGGTTTGAGACCGATTGGCTACCCTCCCCTGGTTCAGCTGAACAATGAAAGCCTGATACTCTGAACTGTCAAGCTGTGCGTGCCTGTAAGCTCCCAACTCTGATCTGTGAAGAAGGAGGGGTAGGGAAACACTACCCACTGCCTTGAGGGACGTCTTCAGGAGAAGAAAAGGCTGAATAGTAAACCCTACACAAATCCAGAGTGGAGTCCTTAAGATGGTTGGATGGCACCTTGTACGCCTCCTTCCGACAACTCCTGTAGCCAAACATATTGCTCTGCTTTCCTTTGGACCACATCAGTGAGGCCAAAAGGAGAGTTCTTGTCATCTGGGCAGCCCAGGACCTCTACCTCCACCCACCCCCCAGAGGTGCTCCGTCTCTTGAGACAGATGGATGCCAAGAAAAAGGGGAACCTTGTTTACTTACATTGCAGCACGACAGAGGCAAGCATGTTAATGATGAACAATGAATAGTCTACCACTAGTTCTTTGGAAAATAGTAGACTGGCTTGCTGGTTTCCCTCCATCTTGGTATAGAGTCTCAGTAAGTAAATGCTCTTAGCTGGCCACTTGCCTTGATTGCTGGCCAGTAGTTCCTGCTGACAGTTATGCCACTGTGCAAAGATTGGGCCCAAAATAAGCAACTGTAGCCTATTCTAAAATTCAATCCTCCCTTCTGTTTGCACTGGATTTTTGTGGGTATTTGCTGACAGATGTTCCAGCTGATTTATGGTATTATTATACTAGTGATATAACACAGTGGGGTGCACTGTGGTTGTCTGCGTGATTGATGCAGCAGATAAACATAAAGTGTTTGATTACAGAAAGTATTTTGATTTCAGAGAAATTTGAGAAGCAAGAAATTACTTAGAAAAAACTGAAAGACTATACCTAACTAAAAGCACAACAATGTATTGTTTCAATGCATTTCTTCCACTAAATTGGTGTTGAATTGGCAATAGCTTTTCTGCCTATTTGAAGGGGTGTGTGTATTTATACATGTGTGTGTGTGTGTGTTTTGGCATCCATCTGTCTCAAGAGACAATGGAGTGCACCTCTGGGGGTAAAGCCAAACTGCTGTGTTAGCAGCCCCAGAGTGACCTTCCATGGTGTGCAAGTGTGGGCCGTGTGTATGGGGGTCCTGGGCTGCCCAGATGATAAGTCCCCTCTCGGCCTTGCTGATGTGGTCCAAAGAAAATCAAAGAAATCAGAGAAATACCTTGTGCACCAGCTGGGCGGCAGGTGTTGCCAGAAGGGGGCATACCTGGCGCCATCTAACCCTCTAAGGGACTCCACTCTCGATTTACGTAGGGTTTATTTCTTAGCCATTTATTCTCCCAACGATATTCCACAAGGTAGCAGAGGCTTAGGATCAGAATTTTCCTTCTCCTGGATTGGCCACCTTCCCAAGTTGATGAGCCCATCTGCCCCTCACTTCCCTCTACAGCACATGCAGAAACCACCTTCTTAACTGTGGGAACCACTGTTGGTCTCATATGCTCAATCCACCAAAATATGCCTTCACGTATATTTATATGGATATGTGGCAGACCGTATTAGATAAGTATGTATTTTACAAAGGAAGAGAGAAACTATTTAGAATCTACATGATCAGTGAAAAATGTCTCAAGGGGGTTTAAGATGTCCGTGAAATATTGATAATATGAGAAGCGTAGAACAGGTTTAAAAGCTTTGAAAGCAACCTTTGCATTGTCCTTGCATTAAGAAACCTGGATTTGTGTCCCCCAGGGCACCCATGAGAGCATCGACTAAAAAAGGGAATCACAACAGTTCTTACTGCCCATCAACAGAAGCATAAAAGTTTTTATTGTTATGAAAGCTGGAGACCCTTCTTTTAATCTCTGTGGGATGGTTTTCAGAAAGTCAGAGACCACTTTGACCACTTTGTTTGTGTATGCCAATCAAATTATGAAGGCTTAGAAGAATAACAGTAACAAAACAAAACAAAACAAAACAAAGGAAGGCTAGATTTGTCTGCTTTGGGGGACCTTTCCTCCAGATTTAGAGAAAAGGGGTGAACTGCCAGGCATGGAAAGAAGATGAGTGACGCTGCAATTTAGTTATTAATTCACAACAAACAATTTAAAGAAAAGTTAATATACTGCATGCTCTTATAAGGAATGCTTTTTTATCTGAATAAGCATGTGTGAGCCAGACATTAGTAACCACATATAACAGGAGTATACAAAATATTTTAATAATTAAATAATCCTTGGGGCTTCTTGAAAGGTTTTCTGAAACTTTAACTTCCCTGAAACTCAGCTGTCATCAGTCTCCTCTTATGATGTATTTGATGTCTTCTGGGGTGTTTTCTAATAAAGAGACCACAAAAGTGAGTCTCATGGTGAATGTTCAAGCTATAACACTTCCCCAAATTCTCTGGAATGCACAGAGATTTCAGGCCATTGCTCCAGCAGGGGATAGGGCATAGAAGGAAGACACTTCATCCATGCCTTAAGAACCAAGGGCCTGTGCTTTGGTCTCCATAAAGTGTGTGTGTGTGTGTGTGTGTGTGTGTGTGAGAGAGAGAGAGAGAGAGAGAGAGAGAGAGAATTTGATTGGCATACACACACACACACACACACACACACACACACTGGCCCCAGGGACAGGGAACACTGTATGAAGGGCATTTTGTGCAGAAATACAAATCAGACAGGCAGAAACATGGCATAAAACAGTTGCCTAAGGAAGCTAAAAGTGCTGAGAGCTGTAAGGAGACCCTTATCCTCACAGACCTATAATTCTCAGTTTTCTGGAAAGAGGGATTCAGGAGGGGTAAGAGGAGTTACGCCTGTGAATTTCCTTAAAAATAACTCAAAAACTTCATTTTTTTTGAGATTTTGGCTTTTAATGAAAGGGCTGGTGCCATGCTGTTATTATTGTAATTATTTGTATGACTTTAAATATACAGTATTTCATACAGGTATACAGTTTTAATTGTTTTCTATGATTGTTTTTTTTGATATTTTTAGCAGTTCTTATTTTTAACTGTAACCCACATTCAGTCTCATCAGGGAAAAGGGTGGGGTTAATAATAATAATAATAATAGTCGTCTCCTAACAACTCTCAGCACCCTTAACAAACTAAAGTTCCCAGGGGTCTTTGAGGAAAGCCATGACTGTTTAAAATGGTATGTATAGTACAGGTTGTGCATATGATGATAACTTTTAAACTTGAGTTGCCTTGGTTACACTACCTGATTTTGGCTGGTGCGTGAGCTTTGGTTGCTGGTGTTGGAATTTTGCCTCCTCCAGACTGTGTTATCTCCGGCTCCTACAGATGAAGAGCCAGTACTCCTTTGGACCTGGAGGACTGTTGAGGGTTGACCCTGGACAAACCGTGACTGGTGCCTACTGTGGAAGCACAACGTACATCCTGCACCAATCTGTGTCTTTTTCCCACCAGCACCAGTAGCAGCTAAGAACATGGAGTTCTTTCACACCTGTACCTTCTTATAGTGGCCACATATCTTTTGTTTTTATAGGTCCCTGGACAAACCTAGACAGCTTTAGAGAGAAATCTATTATTGCTTTAAGGTTTACAAACTTGTTATGCATCATTCTTCTTCAATTCATTTAACACTTGCCGACAATTTTTTATTATTTTATTTTCTGCTAGAGTTATTTTTAATTCATTTCTGCTTGTGGGGAATACGTTGATGCTATATGTATGGTTGCAAGATTAATTTCATTTTAACTTCCTCATTCTGATTGTTAGCAATTCATTATGGCAAATTCTACTTAGAATTGGGAAGGTCCTATAAGTGGTTTCAGTCGGAATATTTTGTTTTCCGGTTGGAAGATGTCAAGTTTAGAGATAATTTTATGCAAAGGTTAGAACATTCTGTTCTTGAATACATAAAGCAGGGCTGCCATTCAATATTTCAGAATTCATATATAGAAATGTAGAGCAAATAAAACTGTCATCTCATGTCTTTGAGGGAGAGATTTTTAATTTTAAAAAATGCAGTTAAACTATCCTGTTTTTGATGGTAAGCGTGATTACTTTGGAGTTCACCTATCTTTTCCTTTACGTAATTTCACAAAACTTAAAACATATTTCTAGCTTGGTTCAGATTTTAAATGAATAAGGGATAATCAAAAATAGTGAGTCAGAGCAGAAAAAGACATTACTGTGTAAAAATCAAAAATTAAATTGTTCCAGGAAACAGGAACACTATCTTAATTTCCCCTTCCTCCTCCATATTGTAGCCACTTTCACAGTGAAATAAAAAAGGAACTGCATCACCAAGGGCCTGCTGCATATTGAGTGGTTCTCAACACCACCTGCCCTGTGAGAAGGAAGACCAGAGCAAGGCAGGCAAGGGCCATGGCAGGACCTGATCCAGTTGGACTGTCCCCTCCCACTGCCAAGGATAGGGCCATCTTAAGCATACCCAGCACTGTGGTGCAACACTCCCTCTGGCACCCCCCCCCCCGTTTCCCAGTTGTTTAGGGAGGGCTGGAGGAGGCGGGCAGCGGCTGGAGGGCGGTTGCTCTGATAGGGAAGAGGAGGAGGCTGGATGAAGCCTCCCAGCTCAGCTGGCCGCTTTGTGCCACGGTGGCCACGGCAGACAGAGGCTTCGGGGGAGATAATGGAGGCATATAATTTGGATAAGAAAATAGGCTTCCAAGAGGAAAAGTCAAAATTAGAAACAGAATTGTTAGAACCCAAAACTAAAAATTTGTCAAGAATGTATAACTTGCTGTTGAAATGGAATACTCAGGATGAAACGGTGAAATCTGCTATGATTAAATGGGCACAAGATGTTGGCCATAATATTATGTTTGCTGACTGGGAACAGTTATGGACCACAGGTATGAAGTTTACGGCATGTAATACCTTAAGAGAGAATATTATGAAAATGATATACAGGTGGTACATGACCCCAGTCAAGCTTGCAAAAATTTATCATTTGCCCGATAATAAATGTTGGAAATGTAAAGAAACTGAAGGTACATTCTTTCACCTTTGGTGGACGTGCCCAAAGATTAAGGCTTTCTGGGAAATGATATATAATGAAATGAAAAAGGTATTTAAATATACCTTTCTGAAGAAACCAGAGGCCTTTCTCTTGGGCACTGTCGGCCAACTGGTGCCAAAGAAGGACAGAACCTTTTTCATGTATGCTACAACAGCAGCAAGAATACTTATCGCAAAGTATTGGAAGACACAAGATCTACCCACTTTGGAAGAATGGCAGATGAAGGTGATTGACTACATGGAACTGGCGGAAATGACTGGCAGAATCCGAGACCAGGGAGAAGAGTCGGTGAAAGAAGACTGGAAGAAATTTAAGGACTATTTACAGAAATATTGCAAAATTAAGGAACTTTAGAAGGATGTTGGATAGAAACTAAGAGGTTTTTAGCTGTAATGCTTTAAGAGACATGGAAAAAAGGTTAACAATTGGGTAAAAGATTAATGGTAAGGATTTGCTGAACCAACAAATTGAATTGGAATACAAAGAAGGGAGGTATGAGGAGGTCCGGGAAATAAGAGTAAGGAAGATAGGTTATGGAACATTATTGTGTTTTTAACTGTTTTATTTTGTATGTTTTTTTTCTTATTTTTTACTGTTTTTGTTATATCTTAAAACTTTATACTTTTTCTTTATTCTGTACTTTCATGTATCTTTAATAAATATCATTTAAAAAAAAAAAAGACAGAGGCTTCGGGGGGTGGTGCTGGTTTGGCACGGCATGGTGGAGGCGGGCAAGGGCAGCGAGCTGATGCTGGGAGATGCCGTGTCCAGCCTCCACCTCTTCCCTGGCACCCTCCAGGCCCTGGCGCCCTGCGCCACTAGCCTCTATGGGTAAGACGACCCTGGCCAAGGAAATTGGAAACCTTTTGTAAGGACACCAGAAGATGAGGTAACGAAACCATATTGAGTGGGGGGGTAGGAAAGGGGCTTCTGTTTCCTGTAGCAGCCAGTAGCACCATCAGGACAAGGCTTGGGGGCAGAAATCTAGGTCCCATTCAGCAGAATAAGCAGGATGGCCCAACTTAGCACATCTTGGAACAAAACTTCAGTGCATGTTTCTGCGTATTATTTTGTGATTTTAAGTGTCTACATACTTAAAGATGCAAACCTATACATGCTGACCTTGGGAAAAGACCCATCAGATTCCATCCCAGCTGGTCTTTATCAGAACTTTTGAAAATTTTAAGAACTGCTGCTTAGGTTTGCTTTCTTCCTCTAGGAGACTTTTGAGCTGAAGGGTGGGTGAGTAGGGAGTAAAATCCTTAAATAAATAATATTGAGTGTGTTTGGTTTTCAGACCATTTCCCAGGAAGCAACAGATTCTTGGGAAGCTTTGATTAGAATAATTAGCAATACCTTTACCCAGTGCTTCTGATCTGTCCCTGAAATGCCGGACAAGAGAAATATTGTGTGTGTGTGTGTGTGTGTGTGTGTAGGATCTTCTCTCAGGCCACTGTTGATGAAGGTGAGGCTCCAATACTGTACTATAGCAACCTATTGACATGGGTGCAGCCAGCATTTTTCGTTGGGGGGGGCACCCAAAGTTGCTGAAGTTTTTTTAGGAAATCAAAGTTGTTGAAGTTTATTTGCCCCCTCCCCAGGCTGTGCTCATGCATATTGTGCACCCCTTTATTTCTATGAAGTAAAGACAAACTTCAGTATTAAAAGTTTTGAAACTCAGAAAACATTGGTTATGAACCATGTCAAATATTAAATCGGCACACCAAGTATTACAATGGATATTTCATATTACAATGGATATGAGGGACGTGGGTGGTGCTGTGGTCTAAACCACAGAGCCTAGGGCTTGCCAATCAGAAGGTCGGCGGTTCGAATCCCCGTGATGGGGTGAGCTCCCGTTGCTCAGTCCCTGCTCCTGCCAACCTAGCAGTTTGAAAGCACATCAAAAGTGCAAGTAGATAAATAGGTACTGCTCCGGCGGGAAGGTAAACGGCGTTTCTGTGCGCTGCTCTGGTTCACCAGAAGCGGCTTAGTCATGCTGGCCACATGACCTGGAAGCTGTACGCCGGCTCCCTCGGCCAATAAAGCGAGATGAGCGCCGCAACCCCAGAGTTGTCTGCGACTGGAACTCATGATCAGGGGTCCCTTTACCCTTTACCTTACAATCGATATCAAATACAGATACCCAATATTCAGAGAATATTTGACTACTGGAGCAGAGGTGGATTTAGGACCGTGCAACTGGTTCCCTCACACAGGGCGCTGAGCTGATGGAATTGTGGATAAGCCCAGATGCTTACTTGGAAATAAAAATATACTCTCAACGGACAGATGAATACAGAGGGTGTAAGTGCATTTACAGTGGTTCTGCATTGGACAGTTGCCAGACTTCTTCAAGTTCCTATATTAACCCCCTGCAAAGCAGACATAATTGGTTTATTATTAATAACATGTTCCCAGTTACATAGGGTAAAGAACTAAGCCATGTTCCAGGCAAGTTAGGCGTACGGAATAGCAGAACTGGAAAGTGAGTGTTGGCTAATACACAATATCCAGCATGATGTTAATTCTACATATGATGACATAAGAATAGGATTGCACATTATTACAATTATTATTCTCCCCTATGCTAATGCCTAGATTACTGGAATAACATGTTTTTGTTTTGTGATATTCTTTTACCTTATCTTATTTTATTTCATGCATAGCCCATCTTTCCCCCAAGAACTCAAGGTGGTGCAAATGGATCTCCCCCGATCCTGCCCATTTTATCCTCACCATCACACTGTGAGATAACTTAGGCTGACATATAGTGACTGACCCAAGGACACCCAAGGAAGTTTCATGGCTGAGTGGAGATCTGAACCTGGGTTTCCTAGTCCAACGCCTTATCATTACGCCACACTGGCTTACTTAGGTAAGCTAACACATTTCTTTCTTTGGCATCCTGGCCTGAAGTGCATGCAGTTTCCCCCTTTGAATGGCAGTGCAGATTTTGTAAATCTGCTGGTGCCTAAACTTTGTCTAGTTGCTATCTCTCAACTCAACCTCCCTCACAGTGTTCTTTTGAGTACGAGCTGCATATGACGTCTTGACATCAATGGAGGGAGACGGGGATACAAATGTGATGATGATGGTAGTGCTTTGCACCACGCCCAGGCCTCTTTGGGCTCCAAGTGAGAGGGAAAGGGAAAAAATGGTAAAGGCTGAAATTTTGTATCTCAGAGAACATATGGCAACTGAAAGAAACAGCAGCAACAGCCTTGTGTCTCTTTCCCTTTAAACATCGTGTGTATCACAGCAAATGGACACCATTTTATTCTGCATTTCCATGTTCCCTTTCAAATGGGATGTGGAAAAGCTACAGGAAAATGAAAAATGTGATTACTCTGCATCTTATTACAGTGACTCCTCTTTCATAGTCACTGAAATGTTCTGTATATGTGTTTTATGTAGCTAGAGAATTGTAAGGAGCAGATAAAGGCCGCCTTACTTTTATAAGTAATAATTTCATGGTTATGATGGCCCTCTGGTGGGAGATCAGATATGTCCAAAGACATTGAAGATAACTGCAACTGGGAAAACTGGGAGGGCACAATCCCCATGCACTGCAACCCATGTTCTCCCATGAGTCTGGGCCAGGAGGAAAGAAAATGGCATTTAGTTTGAAGATTTCCCTAATTAGCTAGGAGCCCCGGGAGTTTTTCTGCCTTTGGTAATACCCATTGGGTTGATCTCATCCTGCCTTTGTGATTTTCATTAGTTATCTTGATGTGATTGTTGGTTTTGGGGGAACAAATAAATCTTTCCTTGCTGCTGACTATTGACAGGCAATTTCTTCCCAGGGTGCCTTATCCATCCTAAGATGCATTTTAGGTGTGAGTTTCCTGCTGTCTAGCCTGATTGCCTGTTATTTTGCTTTGCTAATCTAGGAGCCATGAAGAGAAGTCCATAAATAGGTATTCTCTCTGCATGTAGTTTTAACGTGTTCTTTAAAAAAAGGAAGGGAGGAATTGCATTGGCCTGAGGGCCCGAGAAAGCAAACTCCATCATCAAACCATCTATTTACATAACTGCTAGCACTTTACATTTTTCAATTTTACCTGACTATATATAAAATATATGTGTTTTTACTGCCAAGCTAACATGAAATGATAAAGAAATAAAATGCTGATGGAAAATCAAGGTATTAAATTCTTCATCAGATGGCAGAAAAAATGAAAAAGTCAGAGGAGAGTTTATTTTGTTTCCTTAAGGGATTTCAAAGAAGAAGAAAATAGAACTAACAGGCATGTCTTAACTCCAGGGCGTTTCAACTCTTGGATCTAAAAAGATAACAGATTCATGTATAGTTTCAGGAAATGCATCCACTGGTGTAATTGGATGGACTTGCTGAACAACACAAGATCTTTAGGATCTTGACTGATTTCCATATGGTTATAATTTAGGGAAGATGTCATATTACTTTTATGTGAATCTTGCAGCTAAGTGTCCCGAATTCTTTTACAGTTGCTGGTTGCAATAGAGAAATGCAGAGGGAAGGCTGCAAGAACAGAAAAACAGTGACTTCACAAACAAGGAGAAACAAAGGGAAGAAGGGGATTTGCCAACTTGGCTCAGGAGCAAACTAGACATGAAGTTAACCCAGTGAATGCAATTAACACACCTATCTTTTAAAATGTAAACATAAGATGATAGAACAATAGAGTTGGAAGGGATCCTGAGGATCATCTAGTCCAACCCCCTGCAATGAAGGAATCTCAACACGCTGGTCCCCATCTAGTTTGATCATAGCACACTCTGCTTGATTTTGCAAATGTGCACCCTCTGCAGGTGCTGCAGAGAGTGATTTGGTGTTTATACACTGGTGTGTGGGAAGACTCTGCTCTCCCAATGTCATGGTCCTAATGAAGCTGTCTTTGCCCTAGGAGGGAAGCAGCTTTTGGCTCTAGTGGACCAAAAAGTGGTCTATAAATGAGCCACAGAACAGCAGCTGGTGACAGTTTTCTGAAGGAGGACTGCTGCTACTGAGATCAGCACAGTGGAACAGAACTTGCCCACTTGCCAAGTATAGAAGCCGTTGTGAACTTCTATCTGTGCTTTGCATACGCACAAACACACCCACACCAGGACAGAAGAAGGCTTCTGTGTTTTTCATGTGAACCACCATTCAAAATCTTATCCCAAAAACTCCATTTGAAGTGAAATGGATGAGACGTCCTGCGATGACAGATATTTAGTCTTTCAAGATCTGTTCATGTGGATCATGTTTAATATTGCTTAATTATAAATCTTTTTTTAAAAAAATAGATTTTTATTGATTTTCCAATATCATTCCAATAACAGCCTCATTATCTCTTATCTCATTGTATCTGGCACACGCCTGTAATTTACTCCAATTAAAGTCCAATTAACAGGATAACCTGTGCTTCCAGGAACGGGATTGTGGGTGGGTGCCCCAGAGTGGCTGGGCAACCCAGTCAGATGGGCAGCATACAAATAAGATCATCATCATCATCACTATTTAGATTCGTTTTACTTTTTTTCTTGTCATAAGGACATGTGAGGCTCATCAAGTGAAAAGTTTAGGGTGCCAAAACAGTGATTCTGATTAAAAAGGGGTTTAATTCCAGGAAGATGAATCTGTGGCCCTTCAGATATTGCTAGACTACAACTCCCACTATCCTTGACCATTCCTTGCTGGGGTTGATGGGAGTCCAAAAACATATGGAGGGCTGCAAGCTCCTTGTCCCTGACTTACTTTACATAGTAAGATTTCCTCACAAATCTTCCAGGTTTGATATCAGAGTTAGTACTGATTAGCTGAACATTGCAAGCTGGGGGTGTATATGGTAGAGCCCATTCCAGTCCCCTCTGCTATTATTTTTAACCCACCCAAGGCATAGAAGTCAAATGATGCTCTTGTAATTAACTCAGCCCTTGGCCTTGAACTAAAAGGTGCACTAATTGCAGAGACTTTTCTCCTGGCGTCATTTCATTTTTGTACTTTTAATCTTTCCCAGTCCTTCAGAAACAAATAACAAGTGGGTCAAAAAGAGTTTGAAGCTATGTAAGATTTCTTTTCGCATGGAAATTTCAGAGAGACAAAACACTCACACTCTCTTTTTAAGTTCCTGCTTCAAATGCAGCCTTTGTCTTGGGACCTGTGTGCGATTGCCACTAAAGATGCATGAAGAAATTGGTCTTTATTAATTCCTCAGTGAATTGACCTGAGCTGCATTTCTTGGAGTGATGTGTGGATGAGAACTTATTTATCCATCCAACTTCACACTTAGTTCTTAGCAGAAAAGCATATCAAAATGCTTCTCTGCACATTGTGGATGGTAAAATCTAGGAGGAGGAGGTTGACTAGATTGGTCTAGGGAGCAGTTAAAGCCTCACTATATGGGGGAGTTCTCCTTGGTCTATCAGTAGATTTGACACCACTGGAATTACTCAGGGTGGTGTATGATGCTTGTTGGGAAAGCTCAGAAACAACATAAATGGGATCCATCACCAAAATTAAGCAGTTTAAATGTATAGGTATCAACTTCACTATTTTAGGATCCTTTAAAGCAGGGGTGGGTAAGGTTTCTAAGCTTGAGGGGCACATGCCATTGGTAGATGTGTTTATTGAGTGTTTCAGGGGTTTTGTGGTTTTTTATTGTTGCAAAATATATTGGACATTGCAATGGATCATGATATTTATTTAAAGTGATGTCACTTTACTATTTCACTGTTGTATAACTGATGGCCTTTGGCTAAAGCAATAAAGATATGGATTTGGAAAAGTATTCAGCAACACGGCAGTGGGCAGGGTTCCTGCATTGCAGGTTTGGACTAGATGAACCTTGGGGTCTCTTCCAGCTCTACAATTCTACGATTCTATTATATTATTCTATTCAAATGATGAATATTACTGTAAGAAAGTAATGATTAGATGGCACAAGTCACCAGATAATATCAGAATCTGCCTTCAAATTCAGATAGAAGGACTGTTTGAGACTTGCTCTAGTCTTCCACTAAGCTTCGCTTTCATATTCTCCCTTCTACCTTGATATAGACATTGAGGTTTTTCCTGCCCCTCTCTAAAGTATCCCACATGAGATCTATTCATTACTCATGCTTTTCCTTTGCATATGGTGCCTTCTTCTGCCATATGTTCATGCCAAGATTGCATGGCCATGGAAAGGTCCTGCAGACATGTAATTCCTTCAACCTTCATGCCCTTCCTCCTCATCCCAGTTTTCCATGACTATCTTTAGGAAATGATGTTATAAATTAGGTGTTCTCCCTTGGAAGTGATTTGGGGCCCACTGTATCTTCCTCAATTATTGTCCATATGCTTTCTTGTGCTGACTCTTTAAGGCACAGCTCCTGTGGCCCCCATGCTAAGCTGCTTCTGAATGAGACGGGGAAATGGTGTTCTAATTCACATATACGCTTCCATGTCAGCCTCTCTAATGGTTCCCTTGGTGACAGTAAGTTTGAATTTTCAATCAGTTCTCTGGCATGGTGCTTCAAAATTTGTTTAGATGATTGTTTAGCACAGACCTAATGAGCGCAGTCAGGCTTGTAATGGAAAAAAGAGTTTATTGAGCAGACAGATCTCATGAGTTGGAAGAGATTTTCTGGCCTTTGGTCAGGCCTTAACAGGTCAGGAAATGTTAGTTCCAGCTTTGATTGGGACGTATTTTGTTCCCCTTCCCTTTCACTTTCTATTTGCTGCACCACTGTAAAACAAATGTACCTGTATGATGTAATGTATCCTGCATGAATTGCAGCTGGAAGGGTCCAAATCCCAGAATTAGCTTGTTGGGGCCAACTATGGAGAAGGTAGCTGATCCCACTCAAGGATACCCCGCTGCCACCCAGATTAAAAAAAACAGGAACAAGCAAAGTACGCAGAAATAAAGAAAAATGGGCCTGATCTGTCTTCCTTAAGCACCTCCCTCTCCTACTCTCACATGTACATAGGGAGCAGCATTCATCTCTGCAGGAGAGACTATCTGTCCCATGAAACTCAGCCAACTGGTGAATACCAGGAATAGGTAAATCTGTCAATTTAACATTCTCTCCATTTTGAATTTTTCCATTCTTAACTTATGTTTTTCACATTTTCACATTAGTTTGTGATTTTTTTATGTCCTCATGAAAATTCATCAACATTCTAGTGCACTTTTCTCCTAATATACCATTTTTCTTAGGATTTTTTTTCCAATCTAACATTTTTGCATTTCCCCTAATATAAAGCATTCTTGTGTGATATATTAACTAATATATTCATCTTGTGCCACACTTTTTCCTAGTACAGGCATGGTCAAACTTGGCCCTCCAGCTGTTTTGGGACTATAATTCCCATCATCCCTGACCACTGTTCCTGTTAGCTAGGGATGATGGGAGTTGTATTCCCAAAACAGCTGGAAGGCCAAGTTTGGCCATGCCTGTCCTAGTACATGCATCCTAGTACTCAATACTTGGCCTGAGAACCTGTTTGCAAATGTGAATTTCAAAGGATGATTGTGTTTCAGTTATCATTTTGTTTCTGAAAGTACAAATTAAGTAGCTTCACTTTTAAATGTGAACTGATTTGAAATCTTCCCCATCCCTAGTGGATACTGCTCAAAGGAAGCTGTGTGAGAGCAACAATTTCCAACTTAGTTGAAGCATTATTGCTGGTGGTTCTCAGCATGTGAAGTCTTGACATGAGCCGACTCTCCACCCAGATGAAAGAATTGCAATATAACACAATTATTTCAGCAGTTGCATAAGGTCCTAGAACTCTATAATTCTATGATTCTGTGGTGCAGGCTTTACTGGTTACATCCTTTAATCATTGTTTATTTACCTGTACTTTGTATCTGTACTCCTTAAGTTATTGATAAAAGAAACAATAGAAAACTATTTGTATAGTAACTTCCCAACTCTACCATTGCCTGTTCACTGTGAATTTGGCAATTAAAGAGGCCTGGGTGCAAGTGAAGCATGAACAGCAAGCTTTTTCTTTCATAAACTGACAGCATGAGCTCTCCCTCATCTAGAATGGGAACCTTGTCAGAGGTAAAGGGACATGGCTCCAATCAACACTGTCAAGACATCTTCAAAAAGCTTTTGATAAAGCCCTTCACCAAAGACTCCTATGTAAGCTTAGCATTCATGGGATAAGAGGACATGTCCTTTTATGGATCAGTAACTGGTTTCCCTTAAGGGTGATCCAGGAATGTTGATTTATTAATTTGATCTACTGCATTGTAATGTATTTTGCATTTGTTTTACAGATATAATTTCATTCTTGATTTTGTGCTGTTCACTACCATGATTCCCTACCTCAAATATGGCAGTATATATAGTTGTGCAAATAAAATTAATCAGTAAAACCTTTCCCAGGTTGTATGTACACAATGCTGACTGGATCACCTCTGTCCATATGCTTGTTGATGCTGTCAGATAACCCTCCTACTGCTACCCCATCCCAAGTTTCTCAACTAGATCAGACCCATCATTCTTTCAATTTGCAAATGAAAAGTTCTGATACATTTGATGAATGTAACATGGTGTCTGGCTTCTGTAGCAAGAATTGAAGAGGCCTCCTAGATAAGAATGTAAAATTAAACACCATTGTCAAGAATTCTTGTATGTCTGTCCATGTCCACCACTGCATATGAATGTACATACCTGGTGCATCACACAGCATCTTAAGCACAAATTGGAACATGGGTTCTTAATACGAGAGATTTTTATTTTTTACAAGTGGTGTATCAGTTTTAGATTCTGCAACCTTCTATATGCTGAGATTGTTTTAAAAGATGTCTTTATCCACATAGGTGACCATTGGGACTGGATCTTTAGATGCAAAAGCTTCTCTGCCGCTGTTTGAAAAAGATCTCAATCTACCGACTCTGCAGCCGCCTAGGCCTGCAAGCTCTGTTCTCTCCTCCAATGTCATATTCCCTGGTTGCCTTCAAGAGCAGGGAGTAAATCATCCTTAGCCAGGTGCTAATTGCTTTCATGGTTTTCATTAGGCAGACACCAGTGAAGCTGGATTATTTCTAAGGGGACATTCCTATTTTATCAGATCCATAACACCCCTTTTCTGATTATGGGGAACTGTTGGCAGTAGAAAAGTACAACCTCATAAAGCATCTTTAATTTAGTGAGTTATGACCTGACATTGCTTGATTATGGTGGATATGTGATGAATAAAAGTTAACATACTGTGTGGGTTATTTATTGCCATATATTTCAAGAAGAGCATACCAAAGAAAAGAAGTTTTAAGGAAGGAAGGAATCTTCCATAATAAAATCAAAGCATCATTAGCATCTGCAGATCCTCTTTCCTGGAAGCTAGCACATTTGGAAAGTTAAAAGACTTTTTGATTAAGAGGTTTCTGTATCCATACAAATTCTTCCATGGCAAGACTAATAAAAACCCCTGACTCAAGTCAAATCAGTAGCCAGTTAAATCATGTGTGACCTGATATTGAAAGATACTGAGCATATAGCACTTTTTTTTTTTACATATACCTTAAAGATAATGATAAATATGTTCCTTTGAGCTGATTTGGGTTGCTATCTCTTACTGATGCACTGAAAGTAATGGTACCCACAACAGCTCCTGCTCATTTTGTCCCCAGTCCTCAGATCTGGCCCTGCTGCAGTGGCAAGATGTCTAGGTGAACCACACAACAGGTAAAGGCAAGGACTGGATTTTAGGACTAGGAAGGAATGGGCAGGAGGAACCATATTTGCATTCTCTTATGTTTCATGATAAATTATAGATACATCTAGCATGGAAGCTCTAGGTTCAGCCTATGTTCTAAAGCCGTCATCAGTATGAGAATGAAGGAAAAAACATAAGAGCAGTTTAATGGGCAAGAGTTGACTGATTCACTATACAGGGCTTGTTCACATATGCCTGCAACCAACATGATTAGCATGTCAAATGATTTGTAAACATGGATGGGCTACAGGAGATCAAACCCCACCAAGAGAACATTCTACCACATGAAATGCAGTGATTTGCAGTTGATGCTTACAGGCATCAAATGATAAAATGATAAGTCACCTGGTATTTTTGTGAACTGACAAGAACAATTCAAGATAAGAATTTCAGCAGCTGTGCAATAAGATAATGCCTTGAGGCAAATATTCTCAGCTTCTGTTATAGGAGTGTTGTCATTTTTTAAATAGTATGTTATTTTTATCAGTCATGTGACTGTGGACAAAGTCATATACTCTGAAAAAAGCTAAAGGAGATACATTAGATCATGAAATTGTTTACTGTTGCATTGTAGTCGAACATTTCTCTGCAGAAGAACAATTTTTTAAAACAAACCAAACATTTTTCATGTGCCCATTGATTTGGCCTTTTTAAAATCATTTTGCCAGATGGTATGTTTGATATTGTTTTTTTTAAAAAATGATATACATTCCCGTCATTAAGTACCCATCATTGTAATCTTATATTCATTGACTTCCCTCCTTACCCTCCCATGGTTCTTTAAATTTTCCCTTAATTTCTGCATATTCTAAAAGAAAAAAGTCATTTAATTTAGTTGTTTTCCAAATACTCCACAAACATTTTCCACTCCTCTTTATGTACTTGATCTTCTTGCTCTCTTATTCTGCTGGTTAGGCCTGCTAACTCAGCACATTCTGTCATTTGAAGCTGCCATTCCTCTTTGATAGATTTCGACCAGAGGATTGGAAGTAGAAAGATGTGATGACTTGTGAGACTCAACTACTGGGCATTAACATTAACACTTTCCTACAGTTCTAAAGAGTTAGATGTCATGCACTAATCTCAATTTGTGGACATACTTTAATGGGTTTCCAACTCTAAACCCCATTTTAACATCCATAAATGCCACCTTTCTTGTGGTCATTGGTTCACACAGTGGATTTTGTTGTTCTGTTGCAAAGCCTCTGATATTTCAAATAAGCTTACAAATAAAAGATATTTAAATGATAATTCTGCAAAATTTTGTAGAATACCTTAGGGAAATTGGAGGTGGTGGGATAATATTTTTTACCGCAATGGATCCTAGCTTTTATAAGATCCTCTTTCAACCATTATTAGTGACTAGTGGTCTTCTTTGCAGGCTCACATCATTGCTCTCAATCTGCTTAATGGAAAACTCCAAGAAAGAGAGAGAAAGTAAAGAAAAACCAGGAGGTACAAGAAGTTTAAATTAACCTTGTAAGGTTTGTGCTTTCCTCCGGTTCATTAATTTAAAAGCTACTGTAGGTCTGTTTCTAAAGAGAGAGCCAGTAACTTCTAGCAGTAACTATAAAAATGATTGCAAACCTGTAGTTTTAAAGTTTTTATTTTTTCCCCAGCATGAAAGCTTAATATAAAGGGAATTTGTTAATGTGAATGCCTGTGAGGGGATGACCAGTGAGCAAGCCAGGCCAGAAAAAGAATCCTCTCCAACATTTCAGGGCTGAAAATAGAGATGTTCTGGTAAACGTGCTTGCAATTCTCATACAGATCTTTCCTTTCTCTCTTCGTGCATATTATGGATTGTTATTCTCTGCCTACTGTATTTGCTTGCTCTACAGCAGCTAGTTCTGCCTTCTCAAGCAGCAGGAGAGCATGTAGTTGACTTACCATAGGAGTTTCACTTTCTTTCTGTTTAATAAGAAAGTGTAATATTATGTGGAATCTCACAATGTTGCATTCACGATTTAAAAACTGCCACTTAAATTCATTTGACAATATTTTACAATTTGGTGGGATGCAAAGAAGAATGAAGGGAAGCTGGATACTGACATTTTGTGTTTAAAACCTCCAGAAAGAATTAACATAGCAACAGCCTGGGTTCAGCCTAGGGATGGGGAAAACATGTAGTTCACATTTTAATCTAGATTACATCTATCTAGATCACACTTTCTGAGCTAATACATAAACTGAAAGACAGCTATCCTTTATAATGTACCCTTTGAATTCTGTGACACAATTATCCAACCAAAGATTTCATACAAATAAATGAATATGTTAGGGAGATCAGTAAAGCTGCCTGGTGGACATCATAGTGAGGTCAGGAGAGTGGCACCCGCCCATCAGTCAAAGTTGGCCTAGGGAGGTGGTGGGGAGATAGTGACCAAGCAAAGACTGAGTTTGTCATACATCAGCTGCTGCGCACAGATTCAGTTCTGCTTTCTGCAAGGTGCAGTTGCACTCGCTTGTGTGCCTAAACAAAGCTGTTGCCCTACCCATTCCAGTTTGCTCTGGCATGTAGCAAATTACTTCCTCCACTGATGAGATGGGAGTTCAGCTCTGGTTTCAAACCACAGGCTGCAACTGTGTCTCTGCATTTGGGTTGCCATATTCCAAAGCCCCAAAACCTGGACACGTTTGGGGCACCCCCCCACCATCCCACATCTCCCTCGCTTACCCCCTGCCTGCCACTGACCCCTTCCTCATCCACCTGCTGGCCCCCTCCTTCCCCATACCCTCCAACATTTCTCCAATGAAAAAAGGGATGTCCCATTCCATAATAAGAATTTTACTACTTATACCCCACACATCTTACTGGGTTGTACCAGCCACTCTGGGCAGCTTCCAATATATATATGTAAACATAATAAAACACTAAACATTTTTTTAAAAACCTTCCCTATACAGGATTGCATTCAGATGGCTGGGGGACAGCTAACTCCATACCCTCCAACATTTCTCCAAAGAAAATAGGGACATCCTAAGGAAAAGTAAGACATTCCGGGATCAAATCATTTACAGGGATGGCTTCTCTAAATCAGGGATGTCCCTGGAAAATAGGGACACTTGGAGGGTCTGCTTCCCTCCCCTCTCTTCCCTGAAGAGGCATAGAATAATAGGATATTAGAGGTGGAAGGGACCACAAGGTTTATCTAGTCCAACCCCTGCAATGCAGCAGTCTTGTTGCCCTACGTGGGGCTTGAACCTAAGACCTTGAGATTAAGCTTCTCATTCTCTACCAACTGAACTATCCCTTCCTAGTTTATGGTGGGCCAAAGGTTCCCTAGCCCTGCTCAAGATTATGAAATACTCCTCCAGAGAGGTTCAGCTGCTCTCTTTATTGCTGGCCCTGAAATAGTTACTGACAACTGTGTTGTTTCAGCAGACATTTTTATTTCAGTTTCCTACTCTTCTGTTTTTGTTTTTGTTTTATTGTTGGCAGTTTGTTGTTTGATCATACATCCTATTGTTTGTATTGTATCTTAAGATATGGTAAGTGATTTTTTGTAAGCATTTTTTTTCTAAAAGGCAGGATATAAATGTTAATATAGGTAACTATTTATAATAGCAACCCCAGTGCACAGGTTGTGCTAACCCTGACAACTCCCCCCTCCACCAAAGCAAAAGTATAATCAAGCAGAAACAGAGATTTGCAAAGGAGATGAAGTAAAAATAGCATCTGTTCCTGGTAAATAAACACTTATCTTCTGATGGGACAAGGCAGGAGAGAAGGAAGAAGAAATGTGAACCTTTTGAAAGCCAGTCACTACAATATGGTTTTTTTATTGTGTGATCTGTGCTGTGGCTTTATCTCATAATGAGGATTATTTTGTGTGCCTGGAGCTTGTTGCAGGCAAGTAATTCATATAAATAGGCTTCACTGCGGCTTGATCATAACTTAAAGTATGTTTATGACCCATGTAAAATGGTCCTGGAACACTATCTGAGCAAATTAAAGGTGTAATTCTCACTTACCTTCTCCTTTGCTGAATCAGAAGACATCTTCAAGGCTGGTGTGGTACAGCTCTCCACACAGGAAGCACTTTCTGGTGAAAGCCATTATTGTAAGAAGATTATATAAAGACATTGAGATGGACTGTAAGAAACACCTGGAGATTGGGCTGTTGCAGAGAAATGATGGCAAGCATTCTGTATTTTCAGAGTTGCATATACAAAACATCCACCAGCCTGATATAGGGCTCCTGTAAAATACTGCATCCTCATCTCAAATAGGCTCCTAAAAGCCAAAGAAATTAATTTACTTGGGATATATTGGATTTGGGCAAATCCTGAATAAAAAGGAACTGAAGAAGAATGTCTACAAAACATATTTGGAGGGACATTTGAAATGATCTGGGGCACTTAACTGCATACAATTTGCATGCAAAAATTAAAACCTTTCTCCCCAAGCTTGCCATATAAGGTCAAACTTCCAAGAGAGAATGATTTTACTAGGGCTCTCCGCTAACTTTGCTTTAACAAAGGGGTATTGGCTTGCTCTTGTCTGTTCTCGGCCCTTTGCTAGTTCTGCTAGTGCGACTAGATGTTAGACATCCGCATCCTTCTGCCACACACTCACTCCTGTCAAATCTTATTTCCTGTGACTTACGGTGCCACAGAAGCCTGAAACTGTGTTTGTCCATAACTCCCTAGCAACTGCACCCAACCTTCTGCACTTTTGAATGTTAAACCCTCTGCCTCATGGTCCCATTCTTGTCCTAATGGGAATTCAGATGGTTCAAGTTCTAGCGCTGGCGGGAGTATCTCAATCAGATGTACCAGCTTGCAGACCCTCCAAGTGTCCCTATTTTCCAGGGACATCCCTGATTTAGAGAAGCCATCCCAGTTTCTGATTTCATCCTGGAATTCCTTAGGATGTCCCTATTTGAATCGGAGAAATGTTGGTGGGTATGGAGTTATCTAACCCCATGAGCCGTTTGAAGGCAATCCTGTATAAGGAAGGGTTTCTTTCTATTGTTTCTAATGTTTAATATATATTTTTATATATGTTGGAAGCTGCCTAGAGAGTGCTGGGCTACCCCAGCAAGATGTGTGGGATATAAATAGTAGAATTATCATTAGGGAATGGGAAGTTCCTATTTTCATTGGAGAAATGTTGGAGGGTTTGAGCTTGGCCCCGTGACTGTGGGCACTCAGGGCCGTGGATGCCATGGAGTGTTTATGGCCCTGGTGCTGAAATTTGTGGATGCCTAGCTGGTGGTGCTGTGGTCTAAACCACTGAACCTCTTGGGCTTCCCGATCAGAAGGTCAGCAGTTCGAATCCCCATGACAGGGTGAGCTCCCGTTGCTCGGTCCCACTCCTGCCAACCTAGCAATTCGAAAGCATGTCAAAGTGCAAGTAGATAAATTGGTACCGCTCCGGCGGGAAGGTAAATGGCGCTTCCATGCGCTGCTCTGTTTTTGCCAGAAGCGGCTTAGTCATGACCCGGAAAAACTGTCTGCAGACAAAGGCCGGCTCCCTCAGCCAGTAAAGCGAGATGAGCGCCGCAACCCCAAAGTCATTCGCGACTGGACATAACTGTCAGGGGTCATTTACCTTTTAGCCCCTTAATGGGGAATTTTGTGGGTACTCGGGCACCCAGGGCCCCAGGGAGTCAGCACCTACCATCTCAATGCAACTCTTCAGAAATAGCCCCAAAGGTAGGAGCAGTAGCACTGTAACACAGTGCCCTCCCACCTCCCAACGCATGGAGCTGTTTTGGAATGATGTCATTGCCAATGATATTAAAAGCTGCTGAGAAGCCAAGGAGAAATAGGAAGGTTGTACTCTTTCTGTTTCTTTCCCAACATCTAGCAATGGTTACCTACTTTGCTTCATTAATTTTCTTGATGGTGGAAATACAGGTATTCCAAGCTCCATTGTATTTGGTGTCAGGGTCACATCTAGAATGTAGTCTTGAGCACTTAAACTCCCCTTTGCTTGCATTTCTCGCGTGTAGGACAATACCATGTTGACTCAGGGGTGAGTGTTTCCTGCAACAGCTGTGTTACAGAAACCCCAGCCTACAAGTTCCTGCTCATGTGTCAGGATACTTGCACAACCACTTTTCTGCAGCCCCTAGATGCATTGGCTTTTATTTACTTTTGACCATGTACAGTGCATGGTTCTTTAACGAAGTGGTGATTCTGGGAGCAAGGTTAATAGTGTGTCCCCACTCCACATGCTCATGCAAATAACACATGAATGGGGCTTTAGGGTCATTGAAATCAATCGCCAAAGCTGAGGTTCAAGCTGCATTTTGAACAAAAAGTGGAGGCTTTGCAGTACATAGGAAGTTGTTTTTTACTGATCGGGCAAGACCAGAAAATTAGGCACCTGGGATTTATTCTGACTAGTCTAGAGACCTCGTACAGCCTGCAAATCACTGTGGTCCCTCTCCTGTAGTAAGAATGATACTCAAAAGTTGCAACTTCTCCCACTTTGCCTTCCGCAGCAGAGTTTTGGTTAGCATTCTATTGTTCCTTTATGATTGAACAAGAAAGGACAAGTAACTGGATACATCAGGTCAGTAGGGAGTCCCTGGACCCACTGTTAGCTATTTCTTCCTTCAATCATTTTGTGGAGTTTATTTTATGGATCTGAAGACAAGTCTGTGCTTTTGTTGTTTGGATAAGATTTAAATATTACTGAAAACCCATTAGTAACAGAGACACTTTTCATAGCTTAAAAAAGATAGCTGGATTTATGTGGAACAGGTCCTTAGCATTGTGTTAGTAATACAATAAAGGACATTTGAAGTTAGAAATATATTTATAAGGTGCATGGAGCAAACAAGGGCTAGCACAATGAAATGGGAAAGCTCTTAAGACTGTAGAATATTATCAAAAGAATATATATATATATATATATATATATATGGCAGAATTTGTGCCAGATTTTCTATAAGGCAGGAATTCAAACATCATCTAGTCAAGGTTATTTTGCTACTTTGAGTTCTCTTATCATTTATAATATGGACCTTGGGTTATATTAATAGGCTCAATCTGATGTTGAATGCACAAGCTTTCTCTGGTCACTTGTGTTAATGTAATTGTGGTCAGAGTTTCTATCTGAATTTCAGTTACAATTGCAGATATTTTATAGGCAGCCTAAAAGGTACCAGCTTTTCCATACGTTATTGGAATAACTATTAAGCAGAATTAGGAATGTGCCAGCTAAAGGCTTAAAGAGAGCCTACATTATGGAAAAGCACTAAGTGCAGAGGGATAGTTTATAGTATCTCATTATATTGGTCATCAGCAAATCCTTGCATGCAAATATGAGGGGAAGAGCCAGCTGGAAGGAGTTGGTCTTCATCCTACTAGTGGTGGAGCATCAGCTAATGCAATAGAATGATCTATTTCAGCATCTGGGCTACAGATAAGAAGAATAAATCAAGCGACCAGTGGTGTGAGGCACTAAACACCCCTGGAAAGATGGAGCCCCAAGTATATATGTCATTAAAATACTTTATCTTGCTTGTAGCCTAGCATAAATGCTTTGAGTTGGATTTAACACTTCAGTATTTATTGGCACTGCAGCAACAGGCTACGAGAGGAACACAAACTTATCTGTAGCTACTGCTCTGCTGGGGGCATTTTTTCCCCAGAAGCAGAGATTAAGTAGACAGTTTGGATATTTTTAGAGCAGAACAATACTTTACTGAGAAAACTTAGGTTCCATGATGAGTCGTCCCCACTCTGTGGTTCAACTCGTCCCATGTCCTGACTTCAGTGTGATTTGCATTTCTCTTTCTTCCTGCTGGGGCAACCATTCCTGTGGGGGAGCATGGCTGATGAGGTGATTTACCAGGTGAAGCTTCCGGCTGCTATAATATTACAACAGAGGAGATGAGGCCTTCCCTTTATTGCTGGGGATGTGCAGGGCAGCTAGGGTAGAGTTGCCATATTTTGAAGAGCAAAAAAGAGGACCCATTTGCTGACTGCTAAGTCATACACTGAGTGGCAGCAGCTCTCCAGGGCTTCAAGCAGGGCTCTTTTACCAGCCACATCTGGAGATGCTGGAGATTGAATCTGGGGCCTTCTGCATTCAGAGCAGATGCTCTGCCACCGAGCTCTGGCCGTAAAACAAACAGAAGATCACATGAGCAGGGAGATGATGGACAAAACCTGGATGAGGCTCACACTCACAGGAAGTCCTTAGGCAGATGCTGGGCAGCCACTGTAGTGTAGGGGGTAAAATGCAGGACTTGGAGGGGGGGACAAAAGCGATGCAGTGGGCAGCGCAGGGGAGAAGAGGCAAGCCCTTGGAGGGACAAGAAACTCAGGGGAGAAAGGAGAGAGAATGGAAGAGGGATCCCAGCAGAAGGAAAGAGGGGGAAGGAAATGAAGAGGGTCCAGAGGAGAAGGAGAGAGGAGGGATGGGGGGGGGGCAAGCAGGAGGGAGGAGGCAAAGGACTGAAAAAGCCACTCAGTGGCAAGGGGCTGGGGGGGGCAAGGGAAAGTGATCAGAAATCGCATCAGGAGGAAAACTCATTTGGAAAAAGTCAGGGAGCACAGCAGAGATGCAGGTAAAAGAGGGAAGGGGCAGAATTAAATCAATAAGTCCCAGTTGAGGGAAAGGAGCCAAAGATAGCCTCGTTTTCTGGCCAAGAGGAAGAAGGGTAGTTGTGCAGGGGGGAGAGATCATTGGATGGAAAAAGAGAGAGGGAAAGGGGGGTGCAGAGGAGGCATGCCAGGGGAGGGAGCCAGAGAGAGAGAGGCTGCTACCGATTTTGTCCTGGGGGGCTTTGATCAGGAAGTGCTGAGAGGAGGCTGCCTGTCTCTGGGTCCCACTCCCTCCTGCTCTTTCCCTCTCTCCCTCTCACACACTCGCACGCACACAAACAAGCACACCTGGGGGTGGGGTGGGCAGGGGAGCGCTTGTGCGCCAAGGAGTGGGGCTTGGAGGATGCTGAAGGGCAAGCTAGCACTCTTGACATTTTGCCACATTTTACAGTTCTGCTCGGACATAAATTTTAAGCCTGAAAAAGAGGACATGTCCGGGAAAATCCAAACGTATGGCAACCCTAGGCTAGGGATGGGGAAGAAAATTGATTCAGTTCACATTTAAAGGTGAACCTTCCGAATTTACCCTTTTTTTTAACAATATGTGAATTGAAGCAGAGTCATCCTTTTGACATTAGCACTTCTCTGAATCTTGTGGTGTATTTTTCCAATTAATGTGCCCCGACATGCATATACTAGGATACAGTATGCCTAAAAATGTGTACTGGAACCCACCCCCCAGCATGTGACAGCACTTTTAAGACTCATTAATTAAAACGGAAGAGTTTTACATTTTTGCCATTGAACTTTAGTTTGTTTAATTTTGATTTCAATGTGTTTATGTCTGTTTTGGCACTGTACTCACTAGCCCCACAGCAAGATGGGTGGGGTATAAATAAAATAATAATAATAATAATAATCATAATCATAATAATAATAATAATAATAATAATAATAATAATTGCTACTGATATATTACGGTATCCAGTCTGCATGTAATCAAATGGTGTTAATTACTCTGCAGGTTCAATAGTATTTTGATATCTTCTTTCTACATAATGGAGAAAGATTAGCCTTGTTGCCATCACTTCATCAGTTGACCAGATATAGACCGAGATGCCTCATTAAGTTATAAGCAAGACGTTTGGAAGCCTTACTAGAAATCTATGTCAATTTTAGAACCTTTTGCCCAAATGAGTGAATGAAATAGAGCCATTAACACAGAGATTGGGAGATTCACTGGGGGTGTTCAATGCTTAAGGCCCTCAGGAAGGTGCAAAATGCATACAGTGGGTTCCCATGAGATCTATACCTTCCACAATATTTTGTTATTGAAATGCTGTTAGAATTGCATAGGATTCTGTCTCAGGGAAGCAGCAACTGCAGTGCTTTAATAAGCGCTGTGCCTGGCAAATTACCACTGAACTTTCACCTGAATCATTCCACTGATCTACTGCTCACATCTTTTACTTGGTTTGGTTTTATATTTATATACAATGTTCTAATTGTTTTTAACTGCTGTTCATAATTCTAGCCATACTTGCTATTATATTTCTTTAAATAATCTTCAAAGTATTTCTATTCCTCCCTTATAGGGGACTTATCTTGGTTTCTTATCTTTGCTGTCATAGTAGCTGACTCCTCATATTCTATTAATTTATTTTGTCAGTCCTTTTTTGTAGCGATTCCTTTATCCTTCCATTTTTGTGCACAAATTATTCTAGCCACTGCAGTCACATAAAGAGAGACAAAATACTCTCTTGGGAATTTCACCATTTGTTATAACTAATAGTAAGCCCTCCGTTTTGTTTTGTTTTTTTGGAAAATGTCAGCCTTAACATCTTCTTTAGTTCTATGTAAACAATTTCCCAGTATTCTTCAGCTTGCTTACATAACCACCACATATGTATAAAGGTTCCCTCTATCTCTTGGCATTTCCAACATATTTTAGATCCTTTTTTATATATTTTCACAAGTTTGCCTGAGGTGAGGTACCATCTATATATCATACATATATACACACACACACACACACACACACAGTGGTGCCTCGCAAGACAAAAATAATTCGTTCCGCGAGTCTTTTCATCTTGCGATGTTTTTCGTCTTGCGAAGCACGGTCCGTCGCAACTGCGCCTCTTCAAGCGGCTTTTAAAAAAAAGCGCAAGACGTTTTCGTCTTGCGAAGCAAGCCCATAGGGAAATTCGGCTAGCGAAGCAACGCAAAACCGAAAAACCCTTTCGTCTAGTGAGTTTTTCGTCTTGCGAGGCATTCGTCTTGCGGGGCACCACTGTATATATATATATGTAAATTTTCCTTTAGAGTATAACATGCTGAAAAATTCATTGTTGTGTTCCACAGTCTCTCCCATGCTGTCATTTCTATATTGTGACCTATATCAGTTGCCCAATTAATCGTGGTTGCCTTTATCATTTCATCCTTGGTCTTGCACTCTAGCAGAATTTTATAAATTTTGGAGGTTAGTTTTTCTTTATTTCCTATAATGACTTTTTCAAATTCTGAGCCTTCTTCAGAAAACCCTTTTTCTTAATCTTTTAAAAATTCCTCATTCACCTGATAATATTGGAACCAACCCCTTCTCCACTGTGTATTTCATTAGTCTTTTATGACACATTTATTGTAGTTTGATTTTAGATATCTTGCTGGGAAATGCCCAGCATTACAATTTAACGAACAGTTTATAATTCTAGTAAATAAACTACATGACTACCCAGCACCTCTGCCAGACATGATACAGAGAAAAGGATAGCTGCCATTGTGGGAAAATGGCCAATCTTTTCCCTCCCCCTGGAGTAGAGTTTCACTCAATTTGCATTTTAAAGTGAAACAGCCTAATTCACATATCTCAGAGAATGAAGTTAGCAGACTGCTCGTCTCTGAATGCAGTTTCACTTCAAAAAATGTATGCAAAAATATATACTCTTAATGAGTAAAACAGTAGAGAGATACATGTAAAAAGCATGTAAATATATATATACATTAGATAACGGGGTATACCAAGGGGTTTTTTTCAGCTGGAATATGCTGGGATGCAGTTCCAGCACCTCTCCAACTATCAAATCCACTTTCACCCAATAAAATCCACAGTTCCAGCTGTGTTTCCACTGAGAACGTCAACTGCAGGGAGCCTGCATGTTCCTGCTCATGCACACACCGCCAGCCTAGGTGCACCCAGTAACACCTTTCGCTTCGGGCACCTTTGTGTACAGGCAGCCCAGCTGTGAGGGGTTTGCTGGCAGGAGGTGGAAAGGGGTTCCTTCTCTGCCATGTACACAGACCTTGGGGGGAAGGACTGGCTGGGAGGCCGGTGGAGCCAGCTTAAGAAAGGAGGCAGCCGCAGCAAGGGAGGAAAAAGCTCCCAAGCACCTTGAGGCAGGGTGCGGCCAGTTGCATTTGGAGGGGTTTGGAGTGGCTCCCCTAAGCTAGCCTGCTGCCTTAAGTGAAGTGGAGGGTGCTCTCCTGCCACCATTGTCAAAGTTGGGGCAACCCAGTTGTGGGATATAAAGCTGTCAGTCAAGTCCAACATTCCGGGAGGACTAACTGCCTGTTTTGTCAGTTGGTCGGGTGCTGCAAGGAGTGTTAACTGGTAACGACTCAGACGCAGTCTTCTCATGATTCACTGCTATATAGTATATAGTTTATCTATTATGTAACCTAAGCCTGCCTTAAGGAACAACTCTGTAAACCTGAATGAATCTGATAGTAAAGTAGTTTATGTTAATATGATTCAGATTCACTGTGTTTTCTTTAAGAGGGACAGAAAGGGATTATCAACCAGGAAGGTATAATTATTGACAGGACTCAAACGAGTTAGCAACCTGCTTGTCGCTGCATAAACTCAAATAGGGGATTGTTTAAACTCTGCTAAATTATATAAACGTTCCCACACCAGTCAGATGGGCAGGGTATAAATTATAAAAATATTACTATTATTAAGTCAAATTCAATTTTAATTGAAATTCATTGCGATTCAAATTCAGTTGGCTTTTGTATGTCAAATGGAGAAGGGCACCATCTTGTCCTTCCTCTCAGGTAGCAACAGCAAAATATCTTGGATTTGCCCAGGACAAAAGGTAATCAATTCCTGTTGCAAGTGATACTATGGAATGCCAAAAGTTCTAAGAGCAGAACGTTTGACAGAGTTCTCTGTCTTCTGCTGCAAGTGCCAGAGTTTTATCATATGCTGTTCCAATCATTTCCTTCTTTTTAATGTGTACTCCAAACTTGATGTTTTAAAACCATGGGGAAAACTGAGTGAAATGTAATGTGTAAATCAGCCCTTTGAGAGGCTGATAGAAAACTCTGGAAAAGAATGATAACATGCTAAGTACTTCCAGTCCCCAAATATGTCAGTGTGCATCACATCACAGAATAAAACTAGAAAAGCATCACACTAAGAGCCCGGATTCAAACTTCTCTTGCTTATAATCGTCCTCTTGTTACTGTTTCAAAGGTATATTTGAGAAATCTGATAGAAAGTGTTTGTATGTTTATTAGAATTAGTTGTGTGTTACAGCTCCAAGATTGGAGCAGGGAAGCTATCACTCAG